TAACTAAAGGCCAAAAACAAAATAAAAATAATTATGGAACTAGTAATGATAACATAAATAAGAGAGAATATGTCATCCACTGTTATACCATATAAGGAGGGGACATCTGAGACCCTACGTAGGATTCTGAATAAGGCAGGAATTAGAGTGGCATTTAAACCTACAAACTCACTCAGGGACAAGCTCTGTAGGTTAAAGGACCCAGTGGACCCAATTAGACAAAATAATATAATTTACAAAATACCCTGCAATGACTGTGAGGTCAACTACATAGGTCAAACTAGTAGGTCAGGGGTAGTCAGATTGTCAGAACATAAGAATTTAGCTAAGGTAAGAATGGTTGACCCAGAGAAGATAAGTAATTTAGAAAAAAGCTCGGCAATTGCAATGCATGCATTAACACACAACCACACAATAGGGTGGGAGAGGGTTAAAATTCTAAAAAGTAATCTAGGTAGGTGGAGAGAGAGGTTGATTACTGAATCTTTGTTCATCGAATCTACACCCAACACGTGCAATAGGAATGAATCATCACTAATACCCGAAATATGGAAAATAATACTACCAATCAAATCAAGTGAAAATCAAGTGAAAAACAATGGAACTATATAAATGAATTTAGGAAGTCGTGTGATTAACTTGATATGATTATGAGCAAAAAATTGTGCTCGAAACGTCATCAGTAAATATTACTGTATAACACTGTGAGACTATAAAAATAAAATTTACCTATAATGGAATTACTCTCTACCACAGTGCCCAAGTTTTATTCTTATATCAACGATTTGGAGGGCAGTAAACAGCTTGGAAAACTCCAATGGGCTACTGGTAAGCTTAAACATTCTGGAAGACTGGGGAATGTCAACGATACTACTTCAACCTGAAACGTAGTGCGACTACATACCTGTAGGCTGTAGAATGTAAGTTACTCCTTGTGTAATGTAAACTTGTCCTGCAATTTCTCAGAGCGCGACTGAAGTCTATTTTGAGAGGGAAAAACGTACATAAGCGCGAATCACACGGGTGATGTAGCGAGGGCATATGCGGTCATAGACTTTGTGTATACTCGGTTAAATGTGCCCACTCCCGAGCGCTTTCTAAGGTTTTGTAACACATAGGTTAGACCACACCTTGAAGTGCACAACGTCATAACTCCGCTGTTTTTAGAAGAAATGCTAAATTTTTGAAAGCGTTCAAAAACTTACAACAAAAGGAGTGATGTGTTTCTGAAACAAACTGTATGATGAAAAGCTGAGGAAATTAGGTCTTTAAACGATTAGCCACCATCGGCTTAAATGTGACTCAGTTATTGCCTATAAGATAACAGAATGACCAAACAAAGGTATTTTCTCATTAATTACATTTGGACTACGTTATGTCAATCCACAGAAAATAGCTTATAGGGTATTAAATATGATTCCGATAAAAATGGTATAGTAAACATTTTCACTATCCAGGGGGTTCCAGCGTTGCGACTAAATATGGAACATCGTTGTGTCAAAAGACATGAGTGAGGACGCGAAAAGATGTTTTGTCAACGAAATCAAATTGCAAAGAGTGTGCGAGGAGTACGTATGTGAAACTGTGCAAAATATATACATATATATAAGAAAAGAAAACAAATGTTCTATGAAAAACTGGCGTGTATTCGACAAGCATGTGCAAAATTAGATTCTGCAAAGTTATAATATTGGCACATGTATTAGTTTTAAACGTGTACAGTTGGATTAATATAGTGGTACTTGGAGTCCACGAAATATTAAAGACTCTGGTGCGCTCCTATTTTCTTTTCACTAGAACCCTCTACTTGATTATGTAGCCACTACACCACCAGTGGAAAGTTATAGGTGGAGACTGGACAATGATACTGCAGCATGAGAACTGTGTCCAAATAATCTGCCACACTATCTATGGGTACACGCCTGAACTCGTATTTTCACTCTTTATTTTCGCATTCCTACTTGTCTTACTCTTCTGATTACTCCAACTAATAATTCCTTTAAATTAACATTTTTATTGATGAATGTTTATATATATGCGTTAATTCCAGATCTCATTAGCTATTCGTTTTTACATTTTTTTTAAAGTCTGCATAGCCTGCACTAGTTATACCTCTTATTATGTGACATTGTTATCTCTCTCCTCAACCAAACAGGACTACTAACAGGTGAAAGAATCAACTCCAATCACAGTAGTTACACGGTCTTAATACACCACATATTACGGGCGAGAGTATAGGCTATGACGGTTTAATTTCTCCGCGCCTCAGGTTTTCTCGTCTTTCATTGGCTGGAACAGTGGTGTCTAATTTGATATTTAATTTGTCCTTGTTAGGTGATGTCGTTGCAGGTTTGTGTGCTTGAGGTATGCGTTGTTTACAAGCATATTTGATGAAAATAAATGTAAAATTTGAGTATTCTAACGTTTTCTTTTACTTCTTTGTGCATGTACAAGGCTTGGCTTATCATACACTCGGTTTGTTGGCCTATCGGTTGCTGGCGATGTCAAGGAACCCGTGAGTTCTTTGGCTTTTCTCGATTTTAGGTTATACGTGTAGCATTTTATCGGTGGATATTGCTCAGTGATGTGTTTCAATGTTGCTTTTTCTACGGAATTATATTGAAACAGTTGTGAGACAGATGGATACTAATTGACAAAGCCTTTTTAGTTTATTGCAGGTAGCCAGTGCGAGTGAGAGCATTATTTATCCTGTAATATTGTGTGCATAATTCTATTTTTGTTTAATCTTCCACCTTTTGTAGTTAATAATATGCTGCATAAGTGTCAACGATGGACATGGTCTCGCAACTCGTGCGCATCTGAAAGCGGGAGAAGTAATCGCACAAATGGACCATTTTCTTAATATGTAAACAAACTAATGTTGTATTATAATAAATATGAACTTTTCATGTAAATCTTGTTGTCTTTCAATTCATGTATTCGCTTTGTGAGCACGGCATGCTAGACTGGTTCTCCCTAGGACTTGAACTCGTTACTATACTTAAGTGTAATTCTGCAGGAACACTATCGACCGATATGCGTGGTGAATTATAAGTAGTTTAGTGGCCCTTAAGTCTCTGTCTACAGTTACGTGAAAACGTCTCATAGTCATACGCAAGTCTGTAGGGAACAATGACAACAATAGGTAGAACTTAGGCACTGCATTGCAGTTCCAGTTCGTATACGGTTAGGTGTATTCCAAATCAGTGTATTACTAATATTTAAATTAAAGCGTTATGGCAGTCCCTATGATAACGGGTGTTAACGTATACTGTAAAATTAAGTTTACACATAACGAATAAATAAGTAGGTTGAGCTGTAGCAGTCGTAGTAACATTTCGCTTACGTTCAATTATACAGTCAAATAAATCATCAGGTATCATTGATAAGTCTGACATCTGCATCTTTTCATGCAAAACAACTTAGTTTCACTCAGATAGAATAAGAAAAGTATTGTAAGCAGGATGTTAAATCTATTTCGTGAAAAAAATAAGCAAATGTCTCTACATAATTGTTTTTCGTAATTATTTCGCCCATGTTGAATTGCTGTGACCAAGTTGACTGACATTACCGGATATCTGTAAATAAGTGAACAAAGTGTATGTTTTTAAATCGCTGAAGTAAGGAAGAAGTAATGTTAAAGTTAAACGCTTTAAATTTCCATACCCTTGCTGAAAAAGGTTCATTTTCCTTTTTCATTCTTTGGTGATGACAGCATTCTTCTGTATTTTTTAATGTCACACAGAGATTGTTCGTCTAATACAGTATAGCAGCAAGCAAATAATAAGTGTTAACTAGTAAACCATTCACAGTGAACACTGTACAGAAAACTTCATCACATCTTCATTTTAACCAACTTTTCCTTCACGCACAGAAGCATGCAGTCACTACATACACTCAAGCATTGTAACCTGAACATCACAAAATCCCTATAGATAACTTCTTTCATAATAAATGATTTAAACATATGAGCCATAAGTGCATCTTCCATATCCTTCATAGCCAGAAGTAATTCATTAAGGATCTCAGAATATCTTAGTGATCTGAACACGAACGATTGTTAAGACTGGGATAACTTATGTAACAGGTGCAGTAGTTGTAGGACACACCTGCTAGCTACTAATCGACAGAAAATTGATACTAATTTTAAGTAGTCTGACATTTCAGGAGGACCATCTGCAGTATTCTTCGTAACCCCATGCACACTGATATACACATAATCTGATGCCATTTTTGACAATGAACAATTAAAGCCTTCTGACATTCCAAGTGCAAATGTCAATTAAACTAGTATCATGTCTTCGCCTAAGCAATTTTAAATGGCAACTTCATCAAAGTAGATATAATCACCAGGAAATGCAGCAGCCTGTCTCATTCATTGCATGATCTCTTCCATGTGCTACGGAATATTTCAGTCATCACAGATGATAAAATAAGTGTCTGACATCCTCAAAACACACATCAAACTTATGTCTCTAGGCTATTTCTCTTTCAAATGCACGATTCTCATAGAATAACTGGGATGACAACAGCCATTGCCTGCAGTCAATTTACAACCTTAAGATCTGAAACAACTCACAAAAAGCAATGCCTAAATGCTCTAAAACCCTAATAATGGACTTTTTATGCGATATTTCTTCAAAATGATGACTTTTTTATTGGTAATTTGTCTAGGCTGTCATGACAATTCGACGCATTACTACGAACACAATACGCAAAAATATTGCATTTTTCGGCTACAGAAGCCTAAAACTAGTCAAGTAGAATCTATTTTCACAATACTGAGCGGTTAGAACGTCTCTATAGGCGTGAACGCGATAACCCATGCAATGCGCGAAAACACCTTATCATAGAACATAGCTTCACTCCATATTACAAACCACCTATAATCAATACCAGCGCCACCCCTGGGAGTTGACCAAAGCTACGTCAGTCGAGTGGCAGGACGAACTACGCAGAAAATTATCGAAGATCAGGAAGCTTTACCTTACAATCAAGAAGCGGGCGCAAAGAAATAAATCTGTCATACACTAGCTCGTTAAGACGATATTGGATATTGGATAGAAGTGGTGTGGCGATTTGGTTTTTACGTTACAAAGCTACTCTAAATGGTAGGGCGATACTATTTTGTCATATGTGGACCACACGATGAAGCTTTGTTTGATTTCGACTACAACTCACCAAGCAAAGCAACTACTGGAAAGGTAGATGGCTCCATTCCATTTATTTAATTCTCAGACAGACGACTGTCTTCATTTAAACCAATTTATTGCACATGCGGCGTTGGATTTGGTGGATGACCATGTATGGACTAAAACAGATACTTATTTGAAAGTCGTTGACAAGTTCAATGAGTGGATGGTTTCAGCGTTTGTGACACCTGGAAGTATCCTTTTTATCTAATTTGGACTTTTATGCAAAAGCTGCCTTTTGTATATGTGGGCGTAAATGTAGGTTTTTCTCTATTTACTGTCTGTGGCAGAATACTATGGTTTTTTTTCTGATGTGCGGTAAATGAACTTCATTTGTGGCAAGAAGGGCTTTTGGGATGTTACATAATATAGAGGTTATATGTACCTTGTTCCAGGGAATGTGATAAAGCATATTGATGGTGTATTGTTTATTGAGCGATGTGGGTGTCGTGATATATTTATACATATTCAGTGAGGTAATGCCAGTGCTAAAATAAAGCATATATATCTTTAAGTACTTGATGGTTGTGACCATTTACCGTACAATCAAAAACTAGTAAGCTGCTATAATTGGATTGCTCAGTTTTCAGACCTAAAGTGATGCAAATATGTAACTTCTAAGACAGGTTTTAAGGCCTACATATTTTTTGTCGGCTTCACAGGTAGAAGGTTTGGAGATTCTCAAATTCTTCGTCTCTATATATCCATGATGGTATAGTTGCATTTTTTATGAATCAGTGGGAGATTCCTTTGGGTTTTAACGATAAATAATAACGTGAAACTTAAGCTTAGTTATAGTCTACTATCTGAGGAGAGCTAGATTTTACATAGCATGTTTAAATGAGCCCTGAGACCGATAGATGCATCTCGTTGAGACCCTTCGTATCTGTACATCATGGAGTACAGAAGAAAGACGGGCAAAGTGACAAAAATATAATACGGGATTGTGCAATGCAAAAACGTAAGACACGGAGAAAGAGTGTACGTACTGGCTGTTGTAGACAATATAACACTATAGTTAGCATGGAGACGAAATATGTAAACATGCACGAATGTGATGTGTTCTGCATCTTATCACATTGGTTTGAGGACATGACAGTAATTATCAGTCCTAGAAAATTAAAGCATTCTTTTGAATTTACTTGCTTAATGCATTTCCTCTTAATATCTTATTTCGATAATATGATTGTGGAGTTATATTTCACTCAGACTGATGTAAACAGTGTGTAATGGGTTGTAACATTATTGCGTTTTCACGTCAAGCCTGTAAGTGTGTTGACTGAGTGATTGGCCTTGAGCATAGAACTCTGCACAGAAACTGCAGCAGTTCAAGTTGCCTCACTCCATGTAGTATACTAAGGTAGACAAAATAGGGAAGAAAGAGATTCTAAAGAACTATAATGAGCAGATAAGTTCTGAAAAAAGAACAGTGACACGGAAAATCTTGAGGGTTTAGTAGATATAGAGGTTCATAAAGGGCGAACGCATCTGCGTCATAAACAACCATTTTGAGCCGTATCATCTATAGTCTTGAGCCATTGGTTCTAAGCATCTCAATGACCTCTCCCTACATGGCTCAAACCAGCTGTTACAGAATTCATGGATTGGTGCAGAGTTTCGCTTTAATTTCCTTCAACTCTTTGTCAGTTTGGAAGTGTATTGCCAATGTTGATCAAAATCTTGTATTCTGTTGTGAACGGAATAATTATTCTTATTCTGATGTTGGTAATAAGATTGCTATTTGGGGTTATGCGGTGACTTGTTTTTTATTCAGAATGAACTGTGGATTACTATCGAGTAATAGCCTTAACTTAATATAATTTAGGACTCCGATTCATTTTACTTCATGATGAATCAAATGAAAACCGTATTAAGTACTTTTTTCAAGACACATATGAAGCATATATAAAGGTAAGGTTACTTATTAGTAACCGAGATAATTTCTTGTTTTCAGCTGGCATTAAATCCCTTTTTTGAACGTGATAAACCAATAACTTCTCCTAGCTTCACTAAACGGGTGCAACGAATTGCTAATAAACACTTCGGTTGATGAATTTATTTTATTTAAAGTATGAACATAACAGATCTTTTCTATATTGTTTCTAGTTAACTTCTCTTATCCTTTTACTTCTTAATGATGTATTCACATTGTAATATATTACAGTTTCTCCTGATAATAAATTGTTATTTAGCTAGTGTTTTCTGATTTGAAATACTGTAGTGTGGGTATGACTCTTCAAGAACTTAGTCTGGGTTAAATAGGTAAAGACACCATTATTTTGTAGCATTCACTTATTCTGCCTTAGTAAGAGTTGTTCACTAAAGTGTTGACTTTTTGTGTGAAGTAAGTAGGTTCGTTGAAGTAATGCATTACATACAGATTTACTAGAGGAATAATTAAATTGATTGGACGTATTTTGTTTAGTGTACAGTGTGGTTATGGGTAATTAAAGAGGACAGTATACTAGGTGTTTCTGTATCCAGTTCTTTTGTTCTAACGCTTTATACCTGGGTTATGGCAACGCACTGAAATTGAAAGCACATAATTTCTGGTGAGTTCAGTGTAATCTGGCAACCAATACAAAACGATATGTTTGCTAAATAGAAAAGATAATTTGTAGCAGTGGACTATAACTGTGTTTTCAAATAGCCATTATAACTCGTTGTCTGTATTTTTATAATATATCGACTCAATATTCTTTCGCTAACTTGCATTTTTATTCCGATATTTCGTACAGTAATCGTGTTCGTTATTGAGTCCCCCACAGTTGTAACCTGGTAACCAGTACAAGACAAGATGTTTGCTAAATAGAAACAACTTTGTGTGCTATTTTGGAACGTGGCAACTCGAACTGCTGCACTTCGGTGCCAAGTTCTATGTTGAATCCAGACAGACAGACAAATAGAAACAAGGAGATAGTTGTACATTCTGTTGAATTCTTTTTGTATTTAGGTGCTAATAATTTGAAATAAGGCCACTAAACATATATTCTAGGATTCAGTGGTGATTCTTTTAGATATCAAAAGGAATTGCGCAGTAATTGAAGTGAGGGAGATAAAAGGTTTGGGACAGCTTTTGATTTTCAAGGTACGACCTTTAAAGCATGTTTGACAACCGAGCTTCTCTGAATTGTAAAGGAAGTTCCTTCTATTGTCCGCTAGTCTTTATGTGATTACTGCTCACTTTTTAAACCAAAACTGCAGTAGAGAATATTTCTCGCTGTCAAATCTAAATATTTTTTTAGATGAAAATACGTTTTGACTAGTCAGCTCAGTGTAACTAATGTCATCTGTAGTCGCAAGTGCTGACTGAAATTTATTGATTAAGCTTACATAAGTTCCAGCTTAGTGGTCCGTCAGTATATCCAATACAATTTTTTTACTTCATTCCTTTGCATTCTGAGAGGAACATAGGGCTTCAAGCTTGAACTTTGAAGTCGTATTGTAACAACAGAAGGCAAAACACAGAAGCCAAGGTATATTTTCATTTATCAAACCGCTGTTTATATATATATTCTTTAACCGATCACTGAGCGTGTCATTTCGGTTTACATCAAACGACATGAAATAGAATGTTCAAATGTACATAGTATTCTGTTGCTAATGCCGAATTGAACTGTGGGAATATGTGAGAATAATATTCCATTGGCACACATTATGTGTATCAAATCACCACACCATTAGCGTTTTTTACGCGGCGTGGGGGCTAGTTTCATACCCAGCGTTACCTCTTTTTCGGGAGTACTACTGGCTAAGTTAAGTTCAGAAGTGCGTCGACCGAGAACCCGCCGAAACAGTAGACATTATCTAAATTGTGAACAGTCTGCGCGTAAACATTATATCCAGTGAGCTTTCGGATAAACTTTGTTGACCAGTTTAACATTAGATTCCGTGTTCCCCTCTGACGGCGTCTAATCACTAGGTGTTCAAATACATTTCACGAAGAATCATCTGCTGAATGGCTTTCTGATTATACATCTACGAATTCAGGCGTCTGATTGATGAGAGTAGTTTCCAACCATTTAGATCGGTTAGTAGTGTCCTGTTATCGAGCCGGTCACAGTTTATAATCTGAGTATTTTGGATTCCGTAAGGAAATTTCACTTTAAACTGTAATTTACAAATAATTCATTGGAGAAGATTTGCAGCTTAGGTGGATGTTTTTGGTGTTGTATTCTTTGAGAGGGATAATTTAATTATGAACCTACCATTATCTTAACTTGTTCCACTATTTTTGTTGTTGTCACTTAGTTTGAAGTTCTTGGCATTTTCAAGTTTTCGCTCTGATAACTATTTGTTTATTGCAGTGACTTAACTGAACCGTAATCCTCTGTAATCTTAATTCTGTTGTCTCATATACTTTCTCCTCATCCGTCTGAAGATAAATTGAAAAACATTTCAGACCCGTCGTTTTGCATGACCGATCCAATGTAGTTTATTTATTTATCAATTTTATGTCTCCCAATGTAATTATAATGGCATAAATATCCCTGTATGTAGAGTATTCAGATAAAGTCTTACAGAAATTTGACGAATTCAATCAACCCTGCTTTATTAACATATGTTGATTGTTTTAAATTCATACAGGGAAAGTAATGTTTCCAGTTCACTTGAAGTCCTGTAATCTTTGCCTCCTCTGCCAACGTTTTTTGCGACATTACACGTAAACCACCTGTTAAATCCATGTCTTCTAGAGTAATTTTGTCAGTTCAAAGTACGTTTGTCTTCTCACTCCTCACGATCTGCTGCATGATGTATCTAGTCCACTACATTTCATAAGACAATCAATGATGGGAGGCTGTCTTGTCTAATAACTTCGCATACCACAGTATACGTAGATATAGATACACTTCTTTCGTATGTTACCAGTATTGTGGAAGAAAGGAGTTTTATCACTGAATCACTGTTCACTAGATCAACGCAATAAATGCTAGAGAAGTGATTCAATAACTTCTGCAGATAAGAAGGAATAATGCGCAATGAATATGGAGATCTGTGTTGCTGATTGATTATGATTCTGAGCTGTGTGCATTACCAAATGAATAAACTATTAGAGAAATGAAACTCCTATTATAATTTCTAAGAGCGAAGATAAATTTTAGAATGATAGATATCCTGAAAATCACTGTTTGAGAAGTTTATTTTCTTTCGTATGACTTTTTTTTTTCAAATATCTCCAAATTTCATGAAGCCAGTCATTGGACAATTTACTTGGACATCAGATGTAACATTAAGTTCTGTCATTCAAGCAATATTTCGCATTACACTAAAAAAGTGTTTATTTAGAAAAAATTTAAAAAAATACTATTGAAAGCTGCTCTCCTTCCCGAACAACTGACTAGTTTATTGATGGACAGTTGTTGTTGGAGTTGTTTTCATAGACATAGAACAAACAGGCTATAGGTAAAATGATTTCACTGTAAATTTATTGCTTTAAAATTAAATGATGAAGTGAAATCGTCTTTATGGTTAAAAGGATGAATTTTATTCAGGCGAATGTGAAAACAATTCGCGTTCACAGTATAAATAATTTAAACAAAGCGAAATTTAAACAAAGTCCATTAGTAATTTCAAAAGATTGATTACTGAACATAGAATTTTCTTTTCGATAACTTTTTCGTCAGCTTCTACATTTACATATACATAATAATGAAAGAGTTATTGTTATTGACAACATTAATGTTTCCTGAAAGTAACGCCGAATCACTGACATTGATTTTGTCAATAAAATAATAACTCTTTTATTATCATGGATAATGTAACAGTAGAACCTAATGAAGAAGTTATCGGAAAGCATATTCTTTGTTCAGTAATCAATCTTTTAAACAAAGTCACATAATGCTTCTACACTGTTCAAAAACTTATGGATCCGACAAAAGCATTTCCAACAAACTGTAAACTTTTACCAACATCTTCCCTAGGTGAGTAGTGAAGATCCATTAGCCAGTAGTAAAGATTAAGTAGTTCTGCGAACAAGCCAAGAGCCTATCGTGCCTTTAGATATACAGAAGAAAACGGGGATGGATTGGATATGTTATGCGGAAACCTTCAATTGACATCATGCGTCAGCTTTTCAGTTGGGACTTGAGTGAGAGACAACGAGTTGGATTTCCGAGTGTGATATAGAGGTGATCGAATGAGGAGGAAGTGAATGGTTGTGTGAGGTTGAGGAGGATCATGGAGACCCGAGTACACCTGAAGCTTTACGTTCCACTTGGAACTCAAGGAATGAATAATTATGATTGTTAATAAATCATTAAACGTATTCGGGGTTTATCTAGTGAGTGAAATCCTCATGTTCAAATCAAGTAGGGGTTTACAAATTATTTAAACAAATACATTAGTTGAGCAAAAGTTAATGATTCATCTTATTTCGTACATGGTGGAAGTTTTAGTATGTTATTTTATTGCGTTTCAAGTTTTTGCGTCAAGTTCCTCCTTTTCCTTATAATAGTTATTATTATTGTTAAGTTTTACGTATTTTTATTGTGGTTTTAATTTACCAGTTTCATAATCTAAAATTTCAGCAAAGAAAGTAACATGAAGATGTCATTTATCAAAAACTATTTCCATTTGGAATCAAGTTGCCATTTTTGATATTTTTCAGATTTCAAAATGTTAAATATTTCTACTGTAAAATTTAAAACAATACATTTAAGCAAACAATATTGCTTTCAATTAGATCTCATCAGGCTTAACTCTAATATACATAACTTTACAAATAAATATTAAAATATAAACCAATAACGGTGTTTTGTCAATAGGATAATAAAACTGTGTCCACGCCAAGTAAATACTATTTCGAATCATCCTGGAGAGAATAAAAGATGCACTGGATGCAGAACTCCGCCTGCCGGAACAAGCTGGATTCAGGAAAGTCAAATCATGTGCTGATCAAATTGCAGCTCTACGCATGGAAAATTCACTCAGCAAGGCGTTCAAAGTGAATACAAGAGTAAGACAAGGCTACCTTCCTATTATCACCACGGATGATATTCTTAATTGTGGTGGACTGGATTATGCGTCAGACTGTGGGGAGTGAGGAGACAGGAATACGCTGGACCATCGATAAGAAGACTCTAGAAGATCTGGATTTTGTGGACAATATATGTACTGTGTCACATAAACTCGAAGATTTGCAGGCGAAAACCGACAAACTGGCTGAAAAAGCTGGCTGGTTGCGAAAATAGGACTGCAGATGAACATAGAGAAGATGGAGGTGATGAGGATAACCAACGAACCACAACAACAACCAGCACCAATCACCATCAACAGGAGAAATTTAACAGAGGTTACTTCCCTCACTTATCTAGGAAGCATCGTTTCAACTACACGCGAAACGGATAAAGATGTCAAAGCCAGCTAGAATCGGAAAGGCAAGATACGCTTTCATAAACATGAAACCAGTTTGGTAATCTGCACTCCACAGTATAATGAACAAGATTGGGATTTCCAGTACAAGTGTGAAGTCAGTCAGTTCTTCTATACAGGTCAAGGAATTCCAACAATTTACAGACTTTTATCACCAGCTATAATATTCACTGGCTCCATAGTGAAGATTAAATGCCGACCAGGAAGAATTAGCAACAAGAAACTCAGGCTGGCAATAAACCAACAAGCGAGAGCCGACTGCTCAACAAATATATAGGAGAAAATGGAGATGGATCGGGCGTACATTGAGGAGGCCGTCGAATGACATCGCGCTCTATGCAGGCCATCGCTCGAGTGGAATCCCAGTGGGGAGCGACGAGTGGGTCGTCGGTGACATGGAGGAGATATTCCGGGGAGAAGGAGATGAGAGATTATGGGCAATCGTGGACTCAGGTGAAGAGGACAACAGAAAATAGAAGAAATTGGATATGTGTTGATGAAGCCCTATGTCCTACTCGGAATCCAAGGGAATAATAATAATAATGGTTCTATCAATAACAAGAATGAAAAATTGAGGCAATCTGCGGTAACATTTGTTTGTTTAGTCATACTGTTTTCCGTTATTCTCGTTATCACAGATCATCTCATATTTTCATTTTTGTTACTGATAGAATTATTATTATTATTATGACTGATTGCACAATTTATATGCACAATCTTATCATTCTATTGACAAAACACCGTGATTGTTTTATATCTTAATATTTATTTGTAAATTTATGTATTTAGAGAGTTAAGACTAATGAGTTCTAATTGAAAGCAATATTGATTGCTTAAATGTATTGTTCTAAATTGTTCAGATTATTCAAGTGTTGGTTTGTAGGGATTTGGTTGGTTACAGGATTTTCATCGTGAGCTGACATTAGTTAGAGAACCATTGGAAAACCTGGGAGTACTGGACAGCTGTTTCGTCCTAGTTTGGGACTCTTCATCAGTACGCACCCACCGGGATTCGTACCCAGGACCTTCTGGTTACAAGGCGAGCTCGTATACCATTCAGATTATTCTTTACACAGTCTACATTATCAGTGTCTGAGAAATTATAGAACTTTCAAGATTTTCTCGGCTGTTTCTTTCAAATGTTGTATGCACACGATATCTTTTCTAAAATAGGTTTCTTTTCTCAATGAATTTAGGACTAATTCAGCACAATATAGTAGTTTCCTAATGAGAAAGTACTCCCTATAAAATCTATACTGTGGAAAATCTAGGTTTATGATAAACAAGATAATGTGGTATTCTCATGTACATGAGGACATTTGTAATGGGAATTTCCTAAATAGATATTTTTGAGCAATTATAAAATGTCGTTTTTGTATCCCACTCAGGTGAGTGTACTTTCTCCAATTCCATTTGCACTTCTTAGATTTTCACACTGAATTTTATTTTTCAGTGTGAATATGGTTTCAATAAAAAAGGTATAAATAAGCATTTAAATAGTTTGCCTGACATTAAAAAAAAATCGTGATGTATTTATCAATGTTACTACAACCATGAAATTACTTCATATTCTTGCGGTTTTTTCAATTGTACTATTTATTCATTCAAATGCTGGTAAGTTGTTCTCAGACATTTTTTATGTTTTGAAAATAATTAATGAAAAGTAAATTGTAGGCTTGTAATAAGATTTTCAGTTCTTAATGTGGTTAAGTCATCTCAATTCACTTGGGATTATTTACTAACATATACATGTCATCACTCTGGTTGTAATCAAATCATGCTTGAATATTTGACAGTGTCTAGTAATAGTATTCGTCGTAGAATCTAAGATTCTTCATTTCTTCTACTTTGTACTCTTTACCTTCACGTCGCTGTATCCTGCTGAGTATTGACATTTCATATAGGACTCGATTTTTGCATCTACTGATTCCGGTGTCACTGCATTATTAGATAGGCTTCTGACTTAGGAGGGTCACATTCTGTCCAATGGAGGAAGTTGTTCATATGTTGTTGAAATTTTCGGTCTTTCTTGTAACTGATTCTCAAGGATGACTATTAAGGAAATATCCGATATTTAATGAAGATTTAATTACGAACAGTATCTAGAATTTAATGATAAGTTCCATGTATTATATGAAGTTGGTCGGTTTATTATTATATTATTATTGTTTCCTTTAATTCCTAGAGGAACATAGGGCTTCAGCCGTGCGTCTCCATTGCGTTCGGTTCTCTGCTAGAGTCTTCACCTAGCTCCATGTCTGCCCACACGTTTTCATCTCCTCTTCACATGACCTCCTCCAAGTCACCCTTGGACGACTAACTTGCCGCTTCCCTTTCGGGTTCCATTCGAGCACTGGCTTGTCTAGTGATGTCACTTGATGGTTTCCTCAGAGTACGGCCAGCCAATCCATCTCCATTTTCTCCTGCCTATTCCTTTCACAATCGGTTCCTGCTGGGTTGGTTCGCTCATTGCCAGGGATCTCTGTTGCTGATCTTTTCTGGCCATCTGATCTTGAGTATTGAGCGAAGACAACTGTTAATGAAGGTCGGTAGTTTGTTTGAGATGCTCTTTATGACGCGTAGTGCAAGTCTCTGATCCGTATAGAAGCACTGACTTCACATTGGAGTTGAAAGTCCGGATCTTATTTTTGATGCTGAGTGTTGTTGACCTCCGCACAGACTTGAGAGTAGTGAAAGCTTGTCTTGGTCGGTTTGGTTTGATAAAATTAACGAATAGAAAATGACAGGTATATTCTGATAAAAAAAATTTCAAATTCCGCGGTTATTCATTCTGTAGCATATAACTAAGACCAATAGATGATGATAGGAGTATACTTCCTTTAATTTAGGTAGTTCAGTCGTGATACCGGTGGCTTGCTTAATTCACTGGGCTACCAGAATTTCCATCCATCAAAATGCTTAAACACTTCTGCACTTCTTATTATTTTAATTGTGCAGTTATATCAAATGACCAGTACATGAACTCGCGCACATATTTAATTAGTTTCCCGCTATACGATATGTAGTTCTTGATGGAAATGAAGAAAAAAGGCACAGAATTGGTTTTCTCTTCATATGCAGCATCACTACGACAAATGATGTATTTCAGATTATTGCAATACATGCAAATTCCTTATGAAGAGTAAATACTTTTGGAAATGAATACGCTGAAAATTTCTGTAATTTCTGTTCACATAGTGTCTGAAATAAAGCTTTACTATTATTATTATTACTATCATTAAACCCTTCAGGTTGAACAACACAATAAAGCAGAATTTTCCTTTTGAGATCCATACTCTTACTAAACTTTTACTGTTGTAATGTGTAAGGCATTTAATCAGGCAGTTTCTTGGTGACCTCAGTGAGATTCATTCGCAACTCTTGGAAAAAGAGTCTTGAAATAGCTTTTCACTCATCAAATTCCCGAATAAACAGACACAGCTTTGATGTAATGGTCGGGCTAATATGTGGCAATAACTAAGAGGACCTACTGTATCAGAAATTCCGGTGAAAAAGATGGAAAACGTCACGTTGATAATGTGAGCTACTCTGAGGAGCAAACTTCTCCTCTCAGATAACCATCATGCAGACTTTCTAGATGAAGTTAGGACTGGGAGTGGGTGAGGAAACGTCAGCCACAAAAGATCTACTTATTAACTTAGCACGCAGTGGGCCTTAGATGGCATTAAGATCATTAGTATGGAAGCAAATTAGCAATTTTTAACAATTTTTAAACATTTGTAATCGTGAAAAATCTTCTATGAGTGAGTCATAGGAGAAAATCGCTCATTTCGGCTGATAAAAATGATGGCCGTCGGGTATCTGATGCCCCACAGTCAGTGAAATACTAGAAGTAGTCAGCCAAAAATGTCTGTAGCGGTAAATAATTCCCCAAAATTATTGACCACAGCACTCATCACTGAACATTGGATGCTGACCCTCACTGTTTAAGTCGACTTGTTTAGCTGAAGGCATCCAGTCAAGCATCCACGCCATTTGGTACTCCGTTGTGTCACGTTCGTGCACGATCACTAGCCAGCTAAGCAATCATCTCGCACTCCGATTCGGTCCCGAAATATATCTCGTAATTTGGACGATCAACTCTGGTGTTTCGCTTTGTCTTTGGTCTACGCGGAACGAATACTGTAGAAGTTGTGGGTATTAGATCTTGCGTTAGTATACTCCGTACAATCAGCGAACGTCAATACCGTCAGCCTCTAAATGTCCATAGCTCAAATATTATCCGAAAACGTTGATCGAATTTCACTCATGTATGACAGAGAATTATTCAAATAATTAATCTTGTCAAAAGACTACCTCAGTCAGGCAGTAATTGAGTTCTACCCATAGAACATCAGAACTTCTGCTTATTGTTTGATTTAGACTTGGATTTTCACCTGTTATTATTTTTTTTGAAAACATAAGCGCATATCTTCTTACTTTTTTGATTTTAATATTGTCAGGTCAAAGTAAAAGTACGTTAATTAATTTAATATTTATGAAATTGTTATGTGATCTATCGGGCGAAATGTAAAGAAAGTAGATGCTTGTGGAAGATATTCATTTGCTTTGGAAATTAAATCATATGATCTGTATTTTGTAAACTGAATGAGAAGGGAGAAATTTATTCTAATTTCCATAAAATTTGCAATAAAAGTGACTGAGAAGAGTTGTCATCATTGAAATTACATCTGTGGTAATTTCATCTGTTCCGAGATGCATAAATATTTGCACAGATATTGTCTATATTCAGATTATAACTTAACGCTAGTATATGGAGGCTATGACAGTTGGTCTGAGGTATATGAGGAGCTGTTGAGTGCACGCACGCAGTGTTAAGAATGATAGCCTGCAAACACTTGGTATCATCTCAAAGCTGTTTGTCATGCTACAGACTTACTAACTTCTTCTTATCTTCGAAATTTTGGACATTTTTATTAATCTTGATTCACGTTTACTTTCTCTCATATACTGATATTCATTCAGTTCATATCTTATTTTATGGCATTTCAAGTTGTGGTAGCTTGAACCAGTAGATTACTCTGCAGGATTTGTGATGATACAGTTGTTTCCTGTCCATATAGTTAGTACGCTAGTTTATTCTAGTTACTTTCTGATTCAGTTTAAATAGAATCTGTTTGAGTGATCCGAAGAAGCGAATAGCAAATTTATGGCTATAAAACTTCATTTTGAAAATGTGATTTTACTGAACTGTAGTTCATTGCCCCATACAATTCGGAGAAGTTAAGATGTCAACATGTTTATGTAGTTTTATTGTGACCTATTTATTTTAATTGAAGAGTTGAAGTATATTTTCCTAATGATTCTATTTTGCTTAACGTAATTAAGTGGCCGTTGATGACACTTATTTAGAAGTACGCGATTCAGAATAAATGTGGCTCAATGGACTGTATATATATGTATATATAGTACTTGGTTAAAAAGTTCTACTGAAATTTGATGAACTAATTAAATCCTACCTTACTAACGTTTGTCGCTAGTTTTAAAATTCGTATGGGAAATAAATGGTTCCTCCAACTGATTTTGGTTCGTGACGAAGTCCAAGAACTGAAATTGATCTAAATGTCTACAAATCACATAGTCTAAGTATCAACGGCCTACTATTTGATAGCTACTGGATGCATCTGCTGAAGGTGTACTGAGAAGTCAAGACCAGCGGGAGTGGTGCAACGCCGAAGAAACTGGAAATGGGAAGAAACGACTGTCCATTGTTTCCTTGTTTTCAGTGCTCTCTTTGATTGATTGTGCTTTGTGACGAAATCTGACAAGTGGAACCAATCCAAATCCTCACAATGTCCATAATCTAATTGTAAATATTAACGTCATCACTCCGTTGAATTTGAAATCTGCAGATTTCACAACATAGTATGTGATGATTACTACCGCCTATACACTGTGTGACGTAGTTAATAATTGCAATCTTTAGACTAAACACATACATCATCAACAGGCTGTGTCGAATTCACTGAATTTCGCTATGTTCTAACCATCTCGCTACACCCTTGAAGGATAGTCTGTATGTACGTGCAGTACTAAATGGCTTCAATATACCGCTTGATCAATTTAGAAGGGACAGATCTGTCGGGGATTGAGAAGTGTTTCAGATCAAACAATGTTCCTTTTAATGACACACTATGGTTTACTAGTTTCTTTGAAGATGTTGCATGCTGAGTAGATAGAACACACTTAGTATTGTAAGCTGTGTATAAAATTGTTGTTCAGATTAGGGTTGGTATTTCATTAAAACACAGAAAATTTGAAGCTCAGGTCAGCAAAATAATCAGTACCAATGCAGAACGACTAGAGGGTGGGAAAATTTAGAGAACCAAGCAATTCCGACGAAGATTATGAGAGAAGATATCTGATAAACTAGTGGACAATTTTAAAAGCTTACTTCAATTTGAAGTACTCACTCAAGATGTTGTTTAGTAAGATAATGAGAGCTTCGTCGTTAAACCATCCAGCTCAAAATGCACTACTACACCGAAAAGCGGTCATTAATTGTAGTTATGAAGAAAACTGCTAGAAATTGGTGTTCAGAAACGAATGTCACTCTTTGCTTCATGAATGAACACAGAGCTTGGTCAGAAACTAATGCCTATCTGTGTATATGTTCCAATAATTGGTTTTCCTGTTATATATATTCTAATTGTCACGCACTATATAAAACTGTTTTTCTCTTCTTCAGAGCGCAGATGGAATGGTATGTTTAAACAATAATTCAAGCTGTGTTATTAACATCTATTGAGTGATTCACTCTCTGGCATTCAGTACTGTATTCTCATCGTATGCTTGAATGTAAGATTAAGAGAAGAGCATAATACAGTGAATTATTTATGGTTTCTAGAAATGTTGCATTAGTTGTCTCTAATGAAGTCGAAATTAAATTTCGTTTATAAAACATCATTACCACAGTGTACGTGCTACAGAAGTATGTTTTATAATGATGCTTGTGTGAATCAAAAGTGACTATATATGAGTGAACAGGTTTTCCGTTGATTCCTGTAACAGAATAGGCGTGTTTTTGAACTAAGTGATCGTATTCCAGTTCTCAAAGAACATTCATAACTACAAAAATATCTTTGATGCTAACTTGCAAGTAGATAGCCAGGATTCGAGTGGTTTAAAAATATTTCAGCTCTCTCATCGCTCACACACAGGGAACAGTGCTGATGAATGGTGCCCTATTGATGCGAAATAGTTACCTTGTGTTCAGATCACTTCGATCTTGCTGATAAGCCTGCACATCTGGTTGATGTGAGTGGTATTCGGTCACTCATATTGACCAGTCAGTAGGATGTAGAGTCATCGAAATGACAATGCTGTTACAGCCAACGAGGCGAGTAACTTAATTGAGAGAAAATGGAGTTCGCCAGAAGGCAATCTACAGAAATCCAGTAAAGAAGTGGAGACTGACGTGGAAATTAGAAAGTGTAGTTACAGAAAAATGCGGCGAAGTATTTTAAGTGCTTCGTACTGGTACACAGTATTCTTGAAATCTCACTCTTTCTCTCTCTCTGTCGATATATATATGAGTAGTGTTATATAATGCTACCTGTCTCACCTTATGGACTGTAACAACAAATTTCTTCGTACAGCATGTCTCAGTTAAAAGACCGTAGATCAGGGATACTTCAAATAATCATATTTAGAGAACATATTTGTACCTAATATTGAGAAACGAGTTTTAGTTTCGACTCAGTAGATGCTGATTGAAAGATAAATGAAAGCCCTAGCAGTGGGAGGTCCCATGATCGATAATACAACCTAGCAGGCTATTCACAATTATAACATCAACCACTGCAACAACACTGTCGCCACACACGAAATGAGACAGAAGACGAACAGCTGGTGAGAGATTTTACTGTCTCAGTTGACAGTTCAAGGTATTACATAATAATAATAACGACCCATATATAATGTACAGAAGGATTCGAACTACAGGCCTCCAGATTATTATTTGGGCTATAAGACCTACCTCCTAATCTATCCATGGTTTCATTGCAGTCATTAGGTGTTATGGCCAAGTTAATTATGAGACTCAGGACATCATGCCAATACCAGAGTGCTCAATCAGTGCTACCTCAAATCTTTTCATGAACTTTTAACCATACCAGTCAACAACAAACTCGTCTATTCTGATGTAATGTTTTTCGGTACTTATGTTTTCATAATTATCTAACTTGGAACCTGTTATTAACTAAAATGCTTTTGCCATGTGGAAAAAATTAACTTACTGTTTACAGCGAGAACATGTAAGTAACCACTTAGTGACAAATTGTCTTGAGAAAAATATCTGAATGAATAAGTGTTGTATATGTTAAAAAGTTGTGAAGTTTTTGTGAACTAGTTTACTCAGTAGTGTGAAACAAGTCTGGTGAATTCTACTAGTTTAGAAATAGGTAAATATGTCTGATATGGGTTGTGCAATGAAGAATCGTTCGTAGTTCTTTTGAGTAATTTATGAAATGTCGACTTACCAAAGTTTGTCTGCTGTCATGAATTATTTCTAACTTGGTAGAAGAAAGAGGCTATTTCGTGTCAGCATGAAATTCGATAAAGCCGTACACTCATATATATATCACATTTAGTCCATCTATGAAATTTCACATCTTGCCATGAATATGCCTTCACTCACTCATTTTGGATCCAGTGATTCATATTTCGTGTACTTTGGTTAACGTTCTACATGAGGCGACAGTCATTAAGGGTCGTTGGCGCGTAGAGATTTCATCAGGAAATCTTACTGCATATAAATTATCACAGAGCAATTATTCATCTTTTCAGTTGAATGACTTCCAAAGAATCAGTTATTTATTGCTGTAATGCTTACTCTTGTTAAGGAGTATCATTGGAATTAAATTAATATGTTAAGCTGAGTATTTAAGAGTTGGGATCGTCAATCTCTGATGTAATGTGTGTGCGTGTGTGTGTTAGTGGTTAGACAAAGAGCTCCAGTTCAACTCCTCATATTTTTCTGGATTAACCAGAATTTGAAATCACCGTTTTTAATTTTGTCATATAATAAGTCATGAGTGATTGTAACAGCAAATTAGTGCTGCATTATATGATTTTAGGAGTGATGATAATTTTATAGAATAAAATAGCCACAAATATTATTCAATAAAGCAAAAATATTCATTCAGACATCTATAAAACACAGAAGAAAAGAAAAGAGGACGGCACAATGAGAAGAAGTGTTTATAGAAAACCTACATCAACGGGCCAGTACACACATTTTCTCAGCTTTGTGCCATTGAAATACAAACGCAATCTAATGAAGTGCCTGGTCCACAGAGCAAGATAGATTTGCTCAGACGAATGTCTTGACGAGGAACGTAACAATATTAAACGGTTGCTAAGTGAGAATGGCTATCCTGAAAAGTTTATTAATAAGAATCTGAATCTGAAACCAAAGCAGCCCAAGTTACCAACAGTTCCAGAAAAGGCCTTATTCTTACAGATGCAGTTCCTAGGAGACAACACCAGTGAGATACTAACACAGCACCTTAGAAATGCTGTAAAAAGAGCATTTCTTGCTGCTGAATAACGATGTATCTTTAAAACCACTCCTCTTCTGAGTTCGGGAATGAAAGACAAACTGCCTAATTTCGCCTCTTCCAAGTGTATCTACTAATTTAACTGCTCCTGTGGAGCCAGTTACATACACCTTACAATTAGCCGTGTTCCTCGTCGAATTTCCGAATATCACCCTGCCTGGTTAACCAAAGGACAAACAAAATCTGTTCGCAGCTCTATTCTGTCTCATCTTTTGGAGACAGAACACAAGATTGACGTTAATCATGCATACCTACGAATCTCAATTTAGCCTTAGGAGTTCTACTACTAAATATTGCTCAGGCTGTGGCGATCCATATTCACAAGCCTAATTTATGCATCCTAAAGAAGTTAGTTCAGACATTATCATTACCTTGGCCATCTAGGTTTGAATAATCCGGAATTTTTGTGGAATTTCCTTAATTTTAGTTGACATCCTATTCGCTATTATATCTTTATTATGATTATAATTTAAGCATCTTTAATGAACTGTAATTTCATTGATCATACATAACAAATATTATTCAATAACTTACTAACTTTCCTTGTAGAAAAATGAGCCGACCTTTGATTTCCTGCATATTGGTATTGATCAGCAAGGTGTTTCAGGAACTCCTTCCGAGTCTCAAAACTGCCTCAGTCTGAGGCTACACTCGCACCGCCTCTGAACCTGATTTTGGGAAACTAACGTGAAGTGTTTAGTCACCAGGTTGCAAAAAATTGTAGTAGCCCTCTGTTTAGTTAGTCGGCAAGAAAGTGCCTTCTAGCTGAGACATTTACGCCAGTTGAAATCCCTCTCTCGGCCGGCCTATGAAATTTATGATGTGAGTGTTTAGCTTCAATGGACACAATTGATTTAAGAAATTCAAATTGACTTCGACATAAGTAATTCTCAAGTGAGCATTATGTCCTGAGAAGAGCTGTAGTTACCGATCAAAATCATTTAAAATTACTATTAAAATCAGTGATTAATTTCTGTCGTAAAACGGCAGTTATACAATGCCAATAGATGATTGAGTTCGGAAAATCTAAAGTTATGAATTCTGAATCAACATTTATATAACCAGATGTCCACTGTGCACCAGACTATATATCTGTGATTCAAAGTATATCGAGTCTTAATTGAATTTTTTGGATTTTCCCGTCGATTGATTGGACCGAAATGCTTGGTCTCAGGTTGACATGTCGGCTTCTTGTGCAGATGCTTTGACGATGTTTGGGCATGTAATTAGAATTTAATTGGTGGATGACCCGTTGCACAAGAGGTGGCTCTCGTGGCCCAAGTGGTCTAGTGGATAACGCTTTGGCGTTTGAAACTATGGGCACTGGGTTTGAGTCTCGGTGGGAACATCATCACTCACTGGGGAATGCAGGTACATCTAGATGACGAGTCCCAAGTAGGACGAAATATGCGTTATCCTTGATTCCACTGCTAGTCACCATCCACCAGTTATATCGAGTCTTGCTTGCACATTTTGAGAGAAATGCTTCAATCCAGAACAGAATAGTCTTCCCTAGGTTTATTGTTTCGGTAATTAATGAAAACATTTGCGAAATGAATTTCTTCCACACAAACTTCCTAGTTAGATCATGGACAAAAGTGTATTTTGAATGTAGTATAATTTAAATATTATCATTGTATCTTAAGCCGATAACAGTCGTTGATAAATAAAAAAAGGTGTCCATTTTAACGATTCTCTTCATTTATTAAATATCAGGTGAAAGACGAACTAAATCTGTTGGGGAAGAAATTTTGAAGGATCAGGCAATCTTTAGAGGATTTAATAGTAAATATTTGTGGGATTTAATATTTATTTTTGCAATTGTTTAAATCTACTATGATGATGTTTTGCAGGCAGTAGCATTTTTCTAGACAGCAGCTGATACCTCTATGCTACATCCCCCAGTATTTTAATAAGAGACTTCACCTTTGGGTATTCAGATCTCTATTGATCACTTATAGCAATAGATTGGGTAGAGTGGAGAATTATTGGACAATCACCATTACTGTACTTCTTGTCCTAACAACAACAAGTGACAGAAACTAAGCCCACAGTTTCTAAGCCATTACTTCAAACCTCATATCACTAGTGATAGTGTATTGTCCTACTGATCGTCCCAGCTGAGATATTGGTCTCAATGCTAAAACTAATGACTAAGGGAATTCAACCAAAAATTAACACAATTTCACGAATTTAATTTTCCACGTATGCGATTTCTACTTATTGCGATCGCCGATGTGCATGGTCGGCGAGAGTCCTAACCACTGTGCCACCGACGCACAAGTTCAGTATCGATAAGTAAGGCTAGCTCAATAACATCTTTGATGGATATTATTACCTGAATACCTTAGTGATCAAATAACAACCTTGTTATCAGTTAATCTCCATCATATTGAGAGAAAGTATTATTTGAGAAGAAATGCATCCAAGATAGTACTTACTTAGAAATGCTTCAATGATATGTGCATCAAAGCTAGAAACTTTTTCCAGCTCATTCAGAAATATAAGTTTCGAGACAATAGATGTCACGAGTTTCCTGGAATAATTTGAGCGCCGAGTCAGACTCTTTGTCAGAATACTTCTGAAAAATATCCTGTTTGGAAATTTTTTTAAACACACTGTAATTATTTTAAATAATTTATAATAAGTCAGAAATAATTTTATTAATTTGGTTGAATTCCTTTCAAAAACAATAATGTATCTTAGATATTATTAGAAGAAACAGAATAAATCTAAAACTAGCTGAAGATGATTTAAAGTTGTTATCAGGTAAATAATTTTACTTATAATTTGTTCACAATATCTTTATACCAACTGAATATTAAAGAGATCTTGACCGTTTGACGTGAATCCCTTTATTCCAGACACTAGTTTGGCGTAGTGAAAGAAACCAGTGGAGTTTAATAACTCTCTTGGTTAGCTAAAATAAAGATGGTGTAATGGCGGAATTCAAGAGAGTTTGGTAACGGAATTCCTTACTGCCAACTTGATACACAAATATATGCAGAATACGTCTACTATATACTGGAAGTATAATTTGCACATATCTTTGGCATTGTACTGCTTTGTCTTCGCTTCGTGTTTCACAAGCGTCACTTATTAAATCCATCTCTCCGCTATTCTATGTTCTTGCAGATGATATACCAATTTATGTCTGAATCTATATACTACTTAAATATCTTGTCAGTAGCACACATACTGTAGTATTTATAAACGCTTAAATTTTCTATGGAAAAGGAAGTGAAATTGTGTTTCTCAGTTAGAAGGTTGGTGATGTGGTCCCATAGGTTTTATGTTCATTTAATCCAAGGTGATCATGATAACCATTAGATCGAAGTGAAATGAATGCTTGAGTTAAACACCTAGTCCTCATACAAATAATGTATGGTTTGGAATAACATAAGAATACTTTGAGTATTTTTCTTTTATTTCTGTAGAACAGTGAGAAGTTCACAAGTTTTTCTGAGACACTGTTTGAGGGTGAACACATTTACATCCTTAGGTGGGACAGGATTCTACTACTCCAGCTGAGATAATGTGAAAGTATCGGGGATTTTCGCTGCTAGATCTTTGAAGCATGGTACTTTCTAGCCTTAGTCATTCGATGATGTTGTGTCACGTTTCTGGATAATTTGCTTTATAAATTACAGCCACTCGATATACATTTCACCGAAATGTTTATTGGCAATGAAGCACTAATGAGCAAACTTATTCACAGTGTAGGTATTTTTAGAACCTAACGACTAGAAAGCGGTTTTTATGGGACACTCAAACTGGATTGGTCGTTAGATATCACTGAGCTCTTCGGATATGTTTGATCAGTGGTTTGTAGTCAAAAGGGAAGATTACGCATAAATAACAAGAATATCACGTAGACTGAAGTAACTCAGCTATTTAACATTAACTGAGAGAATGCCGAGATGATGAGAGCTCTTTTACGGATGTCGAATTGACAAGAAGACTGCCGAGAGACAAAGGCCAGTGTATGGGTGTTGATAGCGATTTCCATCTGATCAAAGGCATTCACCAACAGTTATTATTGCACATAGGAGCGCTCAGTTGCATTTATGTTACCGGGCACTGCTCAGTATACAGACTGAAAGATAGTGTGAATTAAAGTGTACGGCCCAAAAATCTCCAACTTACTGGTAGTTGACTTGAGATTATTGTATTTATCTCAGCTTCCTTCTGTTAACAAAAGTGTAATCATTATTTCTGTGTAAACTGACTGATCCAAAAACGTGTAGTTCAGTATTCTGAAGAGTGAGTGTAATTTACTATTTGGAGGTTCACAAGGGTAGATATCGCATTCAACACCAGACATTTGAGGCATTGCTACATACCTTTATGATACCATGTTCTTTTGCTTGGACCGAATTTTGTTCTCATTGAATCCATTACACGAGTGCTGTCAAACATTTTTCATTGTTGATACGAGACAGTAAAGGCTCTCCAAGTCAACGGTCTGTCTTCTCTTCTTGTCTTCTTGCGTCGCGTTTCCGGTGGTATACAATCGTGTTGTTGTCGTTGTCATTGCTAATAGTGGTTAGAACAATATGCTCGTGAATCGAATACGTAGGAAATTTGTTAGCGCAACTACGAAGTGTATTTTCGGTCATATCAGTTGGTTATCTTCATTACCTCCGTATTCTTTATTTTCACACGAATTCCTGTCGTCAGCGTCTACTTCTTCTGTCAACTATTTGGTTTCGGCTTTTAAGTCTTCGAGCTTGTGTGACATTGGACATGAATGATCCACGAAGTCCTGATCTTCTGGAATCCTTATGTGGGTCCAATGTACTCCTGTCTTCTCGCTCCCCACTCACGGTCTACCACATAGTCGAGTTTACCACAATTAGGAATATCATAGATGATAGTAGGTAGCCTTATGTAACTGAACTGAACTGTAACCTATCATAAAATGTTTCCTTGCTTTACCTGAAGAAAGGTTCACTAGAATTAAAGCTGTGATAGTAATAATAATATAAGCTTGCAGAAATAAGACATAAAATGGTAGAAAAATTGATTCCCTTGAAGTAAACAAAGACATAATACACTCAGCATCAAATACGGGTAGTGCGAAATTGAATTTTAAAAACTCAAGCAGCTATACTTCAAACTTTTAACCTTGATTACTACATATTTGTCTATTTACACTTAAAACGGACAGTTGAAGACGTCTAGCAGTGGCGAAATATATGTATATATTTGTGTATTAGCCACCGTCACTGTGTGATCTATCCAATGATGATGCGTTGAAGTTACTAGCCAAAAAATCAGGTGGTTTGAAATAATTCAACTGTCTTAGATGAGTCGAACTAGATATACCACTGATGACCTCGTCTACAAACGAACGAAATGACCGTCCATTGTTTAGATTATTTCTGTCTCGCTGGCTAGCAAGGACTACTGGTTTATGTGAGCGGCATACAACTACTCATGTCAATCAGTCAGTAGTATTTAGTGTTATTTAAGTTAACTGTCTGGTAGTTTTTTTTCCTTTACGTTCCCCAGTGGAACATAAGGCTTCAGGCTAGTGGCTTGAAGTTTCTGTAGCAGTGGTGATTATTTTTACAGGATGGGGTTGCTAGCCTCATGCCCAACCTTTCCCCTTCACCAGCATTATTTCTGGTTTAGCGAGGTAAAGGAGTGCGTCGGCCGGGGATCGAACCCGGACCATGTGCATGATCGGCGAGTGTCCCAACCGCCATACCACCGACGCCCAAAACCTGGGAGTACTGGACAGCAGTTTTGTTGTAGTTTGGGACTCTTCATCAGCACCCACCCACCGGGGTTCGAACCCAGGACCTTCTGGTTACAAGGCGAGCTCGTAGACCATTGAACCACTGGGACCCATCGCCATGCTTCGGTCTTCCCGTGGAGATGCCGGGTATCGAACCCAGGGCCTCTCGCATGCAAAGCGAGATAGTGATTGGTGGTAAAATTCTGGACTCCGGATTATCAGTTGAGTTCAGTATCTGCATCATTTACCTCATACCTTAAATCATTATTCTCTCCACTTCTGAGCCCCGTTATCTTTCTCTTGTTCGATATATATAATGCGACATTATTTATTCAAAATTATGACTTCCTTTTGACATTTCTGGGCCCAAATGACCTGACTTATTTTACCATCTTATGATTATTGGACGGAAGCTTTGATATTGCACTGACTTCGTATTTCAAGAAGGAGCGTTTAACACTTAGTCATCTGTTTCTAAGAGGCTGATATTCCAGATTGACGATAGTTATTTTGACCGAAAAATATCAACAATAGATTAAAGGTATAGATAAATAATACAGGATAGATCTTTCTTTTGGTAGGCACAATCCTCAGTAAGACAGAGGTCCATCCATTACTGAAGTAGATCTAGAAGAACTTACCTAGCAGACACGTACTGTTTCCCTTCATCTTCTTTAAAATAATATCATGTTTCCCTTGGTGTTGCAATCCGTCAAGGAAGTGTTAGGATTGAAAAAGCAAGTAAAAGCAGGTTTCCGAAAGAATTACTGTGTGTTATTTGAAGTTAAGCTGTCAACTTCATTTCAATGAGATTATGACAAGCTGTTCTCGAGAATACAGATTTATTGCAAAAATAAATTATGAAGCATGAATAAAAAATAATAGCTGAATAGAATTTCGACTCAGTAAAACAAAAATTTATTTAAAGCTTGAATGGTTTGATCCAAAGTTACATAGATAGAAGACTGAATAATTTATATGTCCTAGAAAGCATGAATACCTCCAAGATTTCAGACTCTACAGTTTGATCAAAATCGATAAACCAGGTAAAGTAGGATTTCTCACCAAATCAGAATATATAATTCCAGGGATGGAGCTGGATTTTCGCTTCTAGAGATGAAATTATTGTACAAAGTTATCGATTTCAAGTGCACATTACTCACCAACTTGATGATACAGCGTGCCAAGTAATCCACAACAGGTAGCTCACAGAAGTGTTCTGAAGAGAACACAGGATTAAGAGAGTGCTGCCGAAGATCAATGATTACATTCCTAATTGTAATGGAGTGTATCATGAGACAGATTGTGGGGAGTGGGAAGACAGTCTAAAGCTGAACTGACAAAAAGACTCTGGATATTCTAGATCTCGTGGATGATTTATTAACTTGAAAACAAACGAAAGAAAAATAACACGTTGGAATAGGAGGCAGTGAGGACAAGAACTCAAATGAACACAGTGGGGAAAGTGGCGATGAGGATAACCAACCAACCACAACAAGCATCAGTCACCTTCGATGGGAGAAATTTGACAGAAGTTATTTCTTTCACTTACTTATCTAGGTAGCAGCTTTTCACCTTTATACAATACGGATGAAAACGTCATCGATATCCAAATTCGGAAGCTGGAAGCAAGACGGGCGTTCATTACTTTTAGATTAGTGTGGAGATCTTGAACACCCAGTGGAAGAATAAGATCCGAATTTTTAACACTAACATCAGTGTGGTGCTTCTGTATGGTTTAGAGACTTGAGATATGCGTCACCACATGCTATTGTAGACTTTCACCTTCCATTGGTTGGTATTGAAGATAAGATGGCCTGCCAGAAACGGTAAACAACAGGGAACTGTGGTAGTGAGCCGAATTAGTTTAAGAATCTATTGCTCAACAAATGTGCACGGTGAAATGGTGATGGGACGATCATACTCTGAGAAGACCGTCGAGTGATATCATACTCAACCTTCGAGTGAGACCCAAAGGAGAAGTGACGGGTTAGGCAACTGAGCGTGTTATTAAGATCATGTGAAGAAGAAAAGAAAGCCTGTGGTTAACCATGAAGTTATTCGGAATTAAGATCAGAGAACCGAGAGAAATGGGAGTGTGTTTATGAACCCTGCCTGACGACTTGGGACTCAAGGAGTAAACAGTAATAAAACTCTCCAAATTAATCAAAAAATATGGGTGCTGTGGTGACAAGAACAACAGGATCTCTGTCTCCTTTTTTCTAAGTATCATTTCAATTCTACACTTTAAACTGACAGTCTTTATTTATTTATGCCCTTAAGCCAGCGCTGAAGATAAAAGGAAATCTGTGGAACATGAATTAGAGAATCTAAAAAGTAAGAATTTCAATTATCTTAAAATTTATTTTCAACAGTTAAACAGTTGCGTATAACTATTAAACTTAATGTCAAACACATGATACTATACAATGAAATAAAACAAACAGTATCTGGAGTATATGCATATTAATTTTCCATTTTTCAGAGAACAGTGAGGCTGGAAGAATGTTAGAGCAAGTGAAAAGAGCAGAAATCAATTATATGATAGCAGTAGGTAAGATGAGTAGCCTCACAAGTATGTTAAGCAAAGGAAAATGAAAACCTGCTATAAATTTTACGCCAAGTGTTTTCTTTAACAGAAAATACCACTGCTCACAGATGACTAAAAAATGTGGTAAAATCATCTTTAGTTACAAATTTTGTGAATCACAGTAATTACCCGAACAATGAAAGTGGTTGACTTTGTTTTAGCATATCAAACACAACGAGAGACAAAGATAACAAGGATAAGATAGGACATCAGGTGAACATAGATAAAACAGAGATGATGAAAATTCCTGGGCAACACTACCAACAGCAACAACAACAACTGACAACAATCAGCATAAATGAGAGGAACCTGAAAGAAACAACCTCTTTCACCTACATGGGAAGCATCGTTTCAACTACAGGCGGAATTGACGAGGATATCAAAGCAAGAATCGGAAAAGCAAGACAAGCTTTCACTACTCTCAAGTCTGTGTGGAGGTCAGGTCAACAGCACTCAGTGTGAAAAATAAAATCCGGATTTCTTACTCCAATGTGAAGTCAGTGCTACAATACAGATCAGAGACTTGGCGGATCATAAAGAGCATCTCAAACAAACTACAGACCTTCATTAACAGTTGTCTTCGCTCAATACTGAAGATCAGATGGCTAGAAAAGATCAGCAACAGGGATCTTTGGGAGCGAACCAACCCAGCAGGAACCGATTGTGAAACAAATAGGCAGGAAGAAGTGGAGATGGATTGGCCATACTCTGAGGAAACCATCAAGTGACATCACTAGACAAGCCATTGCTCGAGTGGAACCCGAACGGGAGGCGGTGAGTTGGTCGTTAGTGTAAGGGTGACTTGGAGGAGGTCATGTGAAGAGGAGATGAAAACGTGTGGGCAAACATGGAGCCAGGTGAAGACTCTAGCAAAGAACCGAACGCAATGGAGACGCACGGCTGAAGCCCTATGTCCCTCTAGGAATAAAAGGATACAATAATAAATAATAATAATAACACCTTCTCATTATAAAAGTCTGCATGGATTGTTCAATTTGACAACCAGTATACTACATATGAGAACATATCGATCCAAATGCATCAAATATTGGAATATCCGCTTGTTATTTAAAAGAACAGATGCTGAGATGCACTCTAAAAGTCTAATTATCTTTCAATGTATCGACAAAAGTATATTGTAACGATGGGTTCACTACTAGGCCGGTTTTTTCAGATTTCTATGTGTCGAAACTTGAAGACGTACTTAAGGAAAATGACTGACACCCTTATGTTTTACGAGGGATACTTGAAAGGTACCTTCACTATCGCCAGAATTGAAGAGATATTCTAGAATTTTTCAACAGCTTCCACCCTGCAATGCAATTCACATCAGAGAAGGAGCCCGATTAAGAAGTAACTTTCTGGATGTGCGACTCACAAGGCTTGAGCAAGATAGGATACTGAAGAGATTCATTCACAGAAAGCTGACATGGAACCAACAATCAACAAACTTCCACAGCTGGGTGCCTTTATAGGCGAAACGGAACTTGTTCTGTCCACTGAGTCACAGAATCCGCAAAATTTGCAGCGCTCACACCATGTAAGAGGAGTTGAACATTGTATAAGGGATTTCCCCTGAAAATGACCACGCCAAACGCTTCATCACAAAGTCCATGAAGTCTACATGAAAAAATCCGCACACACCTTCTGAATACAAATAACTTCTCTTTCTAAATCTGTAATCAAGTGGAGACTCTTCTGCATAAATATTGAGAAACTGCCTGTCCTATTCAGTGAAGGAAACCTTCTCAGCTGAACTTCGGTTCACTTTTTCTACGAAACCTGTGATTCGTATGAACACAAAGGGTAGTCTAATGTCGCTGGCCTTATCAATGTGTATCTATCAGTTAACTTGCTCAGAGTTTGATATCCAAACTCATCCCCGAATACTAACCTTCATGGTTTTATAAGGGATAAAAATTATCTCTTCGTAGCCGTATTCTGGAACACCTAATCGACTGTAGATAACCAATAAACCTGCAATTGAGCTTTAGAGTCATCTACACAGTACACGGAAATCTTTCCAAAGGTGAATGAATCAAACTTTTTCAAATGGCAGAAGTAATGGCAATCCATATCTTAAATCCCGAACTCTGCATACCAAAGAAGTCTGTTCAGTCACTGAACCTACAGTGGACCTATTTCGCTTTATCACTGGATATGTAATTCTTGTTAATCCTAATTAGTATTATTAATATTTTATTTATTGTTCTTTTCTCTCCCGCGATGTGAAATTTCTTCTCCTTATGACTATGATCCTGACTCTCTTTCAATTTTAATTGAGTTCTGCTCAATTCCGTATATTGCACTGCATCACGCAATTTACTGAATTTTATTTTAGTTCTTACTCGATTAGTGCTTCTTGTGTTGCATAATTCTTATCTAAAACTCACAATTATAATGACAGATCTCTGGAAACAATCTTTTTATTGTTGAGAAAATTTACAATATACATGTAATTATGCAACTTGAGTGTGATATCTCTGAAAATAGTAGCTATTCGCCGGACGCATTTTCTTGTATAAGAGTGGATAGGGAATTTTAATCTGCTTGGAAATATTCCACTGACTTTACCGTTTCTGAAGCATACAGTTTTTCTCAACTCTGAGTAGTAGTGATGACGATCCTCACTCAGAATACTCTGGAACAGCGATAGTATTTTGGTTTTCATGGAAGAAATTTATTCGGTTTCCAGCAGCAGTTCTCTGTTACGATTCTGTCGTTGAATGAAACTGTGTTGGTTTTGAGTGGGAATTTGTTTCTCCTATTCTAAAGATAAAGTTTTCATACCTGGTTTAGTACTCCATGATAAACTAACATAAATGGGATTCCAGAAACGCAAATATGGCAAGAGTTTGCCATTAGAATATTACCATTCCCTTTAGTACCTGAACTTGCACAACTTAGTATTGAAGTAAGAGATGAATGTGTACTTTTTGTTTGAAAATCTACTGTGCTTTTTTTTATTCCTTAACGTTCTTAGTGGAACATAGTGCTTCAAGCTAGAGCTTTGAATGTTCAGTAGAAGTGGTTTTATTTCTATAGGGTTGATTCGCTAGACTCACACCCAAGCTTCCATCTTTAACAGCCTTACTACCGGGTTTGCGATGTCTAGGAGTGCGTTGGCAAGTGATTGAACCCTGGACCACATGTGTAATCGGCGAGTTTTCTACCTCTGAACCACAAACCCATTGAAAATCTATTCTAGATTCTTATAATCAAATACAGTGCACAAATGTCTTGATGATAGTAGTCCAGTTAGCAATTGGAGTGCGGCAGTCACGTTAATCATCATTACTCTGTAATGGTTTGATAAAAACATTGCCATTTTTAAAAAATTTTAATTATCACCTGTTTTGTTTGGATATCGTTTCAACCCTGGTAAACACTAAGCCAATTATGAAGAAATTGAAGATGAAATTACTGCGCTTCACCAAGATATAGCGAAGGCGAATGCTACTCAATTGGAGAAAACCCGTGAATTTAACAGCCTTTTAGATACAATAAAAAGTGAAATCGATATTCAGGAACGTAAGTGGTGGATTAAATAACCTTCTATTTTCCCTATATTTTTGTAAAAATAAAGAGTTGATTTAAGATAATGGAAAATAAATAACTAAGGAGTCATTCTATCCAGCTGGTTGTAAACTGGGAAGACTGTTATTAGTGACTCACAGTAGAAGAATAGAGAATACAAAGCTCCTCTATGAAATGGGGCTATAACGTGTTTACGCAGAGGAAACAGGAAACAGTAAGGTATTCTCTCAATAACAAAGTTTTATAATACAGCATGGTTTCATTCTCACTGATCTTTTCAAGCCTTACTTGTTATTTTCATTTGATTTAGCCTGGCTAGTGAAAACAGTGAATTATTTCATAACACTTTACTGCAGACTTGAGACTGTTTAATTCTTTATTGATATTGTTTCTGTTATCGCTGGCTACAGCTGACAATTGCGTGAATATTCATGACGTCCTGCTTCTTACTGGATATTCTCGAAATACGAAATCAGATATTTTTGTACTCTACGTTTATCGGAGCGTAAAGTTCTTTTTCAAACAGATAGTTTTCTGACAGATTATTGTCATTAATTTCATCTAGATTAGTTCAGTTAACATCTGTACAGATTCTTCGGATTTGTGACATCTAAAGAAGAGCATTCCATGACGTTCAAGTCAGCAGCTTTCTTGTATTAAAAAATACTGTTAAAAATTTTAATATTCTCCTGAATAGTTACGAAACTCATTGCTTGTTTGACATTGATACGTGCTGTTTGATTCAAGCAAATTTTTAAAATATGATAATTCTATGAAATTATTATGAAAAGACAGCTACATCTGGATGAATCAAAAACACGTGAAGTACATAAGAGAAAGAGAAATGAAACCCCGAGGGTCCAGCTTGCCACACATGTATGGTTTTCCGAAGATACACAAAATACAAGTCCCCCTGAGACCCATACTTTCGATGATCAACTCGCCCCAACATAAGGTGGCACGTTGGCTTGCGGAGAAGTTGGAACCTATTCGTCAACGGCTAGGCGTGCACACTATGAAGGACTCATTTCATTTCTCGGAAAGTGTGAACCAAATGAACGTTTTGAATAAGTTCATGGTGTCATTTGATGTAACCTCCTTGTTCACAATGATTCCAATCAACGAAACTAGTGAGATCATTTGTCAGCAGTCTGATCTTCTCCCACTCCCAGAGTCGGAATTCAAACGCCTACTATGGAACATGAAAGTGACGGAAAGTTTCACTTCTTCGACATTGCCATAGAACGCCTAGAAGACGGTAGTCTTCAAAAGTCAATTTATCGAAAGCCTACATGGAAAGGACAATACTTACATTTCAATAGCTTTTGTCCAAATAGCTTTAAATGCGGTCCAGTCAAGACTCTGTACTATAGAGCGAGGAGAATATGCTCTAGGGAGAAATTAGAGGAAGAATTTGAGTTTCCTGAAAAGACATTGAAGAGCAATGGGTACCCTCAAAGGTTCATCAACAAGTATGGAAGATCTCAAGTCAAAAATGTAAAACAAATCACATTGGAAAAAGAGCCAATCTACTTTCAGCTTGATTATAAAGGTGAAACCATTACAGTGATGATCAACAGAAGGCTGAGTACGTCACTAGCCAGAGCCTATCCTGCAGCTGAGCTCGTTCCCGTTTATCGAACAACCTGCTCCTTGGTGCAATCAAAAATCGATAGATATCCTTCTCATGTTAACTCCAACTGTATATACAAATTTACATGTATCTGCGGGAGCAGTTACATTGGAACGACAGAAAGAAGGGCATATCTACGATTTTCTGAACATGTACCGAAAAGCTTATGTCTAAAGGGAACAAATTCTTTAAACAGTGCCATCGCCAGGCATCTCCTCGACACGGGTCATGAGGTGGAAATCAAGAAATCCTTTAAAATTATCAATAGACAAAGGAGCTCCATTATCCTCAAGTTTGCCGAAGCAATTTCTATCAAACGCTTCAAACCAGATTTATGTGTTCAGAAAGAAGCAGTTATTAGTCTTTCCTTGCCATGGTAACTGGATGTCTTTATTCTCTACTCTGATTACGTAATCTTTGTCCTTAACCTCACCCCTTTTTTTATAATCTGTAATATTGCTTATCTCTTGTTTCTATGACGTGATGTGAACTCAGTACATCGTTACCAAATTTATTAGTTACTCATCATCTTACTCACCTCTCGTCTTTATTACGTAACTCCTTTACCATTGTATGCATACATTTATTTTGTTTAAACTTGAACTGCCTGTGTAAAAACTATATGAGCACAATTTTCTGAGCACTTTTCACTAATTGTGGAACTTTCTGTCAACTGACAACATGTAAAATTTGCAAGTATGTTAAAACTTTTCTGTACGTAAACCTCACAATTTATTTAGGCTGTAAGCAGATGATGAGAAGCCAACGAAATAAATGATGGTACCATATTATTCTGCACAAACCACTGTTGTTCTTGCTTTATTCAAATTCTTCAAGGGGAATAAATGCATGAACACTGACAGCGTTTAGTGGAGCAACTGAAGTAAAGTCATCAATAAGCACCGGATTCGCCATTTCGAACAGACTTTAAGGGATGCAATAGAAGCTAATGACGTTTGTTGCGTGATTCTGAATAATTAAATCTCTTTAGAAACTTCAGATCAACTAGTTCGATGAAGGAAGTGTATGATCGACCACATGGGGTGCAACATAGAAAACTCACAGTGGGAAAAATCACTTACTTAAGTATCTGATGAGATCAATGGGATTGATATTTCATACGACAGAAGTGTACGACAGTTAGGAATACACTATTATGTTATATTATTTAGGCTTAGTTGGAGAACGTCAACAAAGTCGAGTGAGCTTATGAGTAAATCAAATATCATCCTTATAGAACAGGTGTATAAGTACTTGAAAAATTCGACTTTATTCACTGACATAAGGTGAAATGAATGTAATGACTAATGATTAATTTCCAAAATGTCTGCTTTTATTTGCAGATGTACTTGAGGAATTCGAGCAGCAACTCAAATATGTTATCAAGATTATAAACAATTGTAGGTTACTCTTATAATAAAATCTCTTTTCATTATAGAGTATTAAACATATTTACCTGTGTATTTTGGAACATCACACTGCATAGACGTTTCAGTCTTTGAAATTTTCAAAACATTATTGATGTTGTTTCAAGATGATAAGAAGTAACTGTAATGTCCCTTAACAACCACATGAATGTTAACGAGATTGGTAAAAGAGTCACACCTATTATGTCATATCTCATGATTTTGTCTGACAGCAAGGCCACAGTAGGTGCAGCAAGGGTTGAACTGGTTAACTAATAGCTGAAAAGTGAGTGAACACTCCCATCAGTCATAACTGCATAGCTACTAGAAATAAAACCTAACTCACCTATGAATTATTAAATGATAGGTTTTTAGAATGGTTCATATAAAGCTAGGAAACCCATTTAAATCTGCAGGTTAATTTGCAATAAACATAGTTCGATGTATGGTTTCACTATAGTCTCCTTCGGAAACAGAAGTTACTCAGGTCACAATATGTGGCCTTCTTGATATCAAGAAATCAAGCATAAATATGCAACAGTATAAACTGCTGATTGGTTGAAATGAGTGGTTTTATACAACTCACACAAACCGGTAGGGCTTGCTGGCCAGCAGGACTGAAGTGATTTAAACACCGGACAGATGTTTTGCTAGTTTGTAGTCGAGGTTATCAGCCGTGTACCTGGTTCAACTCATCTAAGACAGCCAAATTATTTCAGAAAATCCAATTTCTGGCTAGCCACTCATCACAATCAATCAGCACTACATAGTTTTATGCATTAAGGCTTAGTTTCTAGAATACCGTTTATGATATCAAGTAGATGACACTTTATAATCTAAGTAATTTCTGTGTAAATTGCAAATTAACTTGTCGATTGTGAATTTGATTTATGGTGTTACCAGTTCACTGAACAGCTACTCACAAGTTGGTTACACCACTGATAAGTTGGACTCCAAACGGATTGGATGGCAGTTTAGTGTTTAAATCACCTCAATCTTGATGGCCTGCAAGCTTTATTGGTTTATATGATCGGTATACAACAACTACTAATGTAACAACAGAAGACAAGGTCCAGGCAACAGATCGTTTATTAAAGAAATTCAACACATATTTATAGATTTTAATGTACATTATTGTAGATTATTGTTAGTAGAAAATACAGTCTTTTGATTGGTTGTTTCTCACAGAAAGTTAACATTGCATCTCTTTGTGGCTCTGTCAGATCATCCATATTCTAACTGTATCCGCCTACGCAAAGTCTGCTGTGATTAGTTGTTGAGTCAGTCTTTGTTCTTGTTTTCACATGACCAATATTTGGGACATAAACATTGACGTAAATTACTGTCTACCAATTTGGCTAGCAGCCAGCTCTTACCACACTGCTATCCTAGGCTTCGGCAAACTTCGAAGACACGACGATCTGTGAATTAATCAGTATTACCATAATCTAATTTAAAAAAATTATTTTGACATTGATAGGGTTCATTGAAGAACAGCTGAGAGAAGCTACAATACAATACAAACATGCACATGGTAGGTCTAGTATTAAAAGACTTAATTAACTGATTACGATATAACTGAAAACCTCATGTTCACTTGTTATTTTATGTGTAAATTGGTAGATATGGATTTGTTATGGATATTTTTGTGTCTCAACTGAAACTAGAATTATCAAACATAAAACTTCAAAATAAATCAAGAAAGAAGTAGAAATGAATATATTTCATCCAACCGGAAAATTAATTATGAGTAGTTATCCTCTTGGTAAAAAGAGAATCCAAGAAAGAATACATAATATTCCATTTTTATAGAAAAAAACTTTCATACGGAGGTGACGTGCATCTATTGGAACTATGGAGACTTCAGTGATAATTAATGCATCGGTGGATCAGAGGTAGAATACTCGCCAACCATGCATATGGTTCGGGATATGACCTTAGGCCGACACACTCTAAACTCTCTCTCTCTCTCTTAGCTGGTAGTCAGTCTGGTGAAAAAGGAAGACTTGGCATGAGGCTGGCAAACTCATCCCGTAAAAGACACCAATGCTACTGAAACTTTAAGCGCTTAAAGCCCAACTTTCCACTCGGAAAGCAATGGATTAAAAAATATTTTGAAAAGTATACACATTGTGTCGTATTTTGGAGTACACTTCTCAGTGATCAGTAGAGTCAGAAATACAAATACAGGTTTTCAATTGAACACATAAAATTTAATTAATCAAGGCAGAGCTTTCAATTTCACCCCAACTCACACATGCACCCCAATACAGTTTCTGATATTATTTTCATTTGCCTTTATTGGCTATATGTACTCTATTATTCATGGATTTATAACTGTAGAGCCTGAAGAAGAAGTTATCGAAAACAAATGTTCGCTCAAAATCTTGTTTTGATTTCAATATGGGGATATTTCATTTACTGAAATTTTAGTTTAATTTTAAGTATTAAGGGAGACATATAGAAGATTTTTACAATGACAGAGTAAATGCTATAACTTACTCTTAAGGTTGAGAAGATATTAATGCATGTATATTGTATCACAGTGATTAGTGCAAGCTGTAGAGTAAAAGTATTTTTCAAAATAGAAATGTTGTAGGAAGATGAAATGAAGTAGAGAGGAATTTGAGAAATTAGCGAAGATTTGGGGACGTTGTTGTACACGTTGATAGTGTAGATGGATCCTGAAAACTTTCTGAAATTTCTGTAAACATATTCATATTCTACTGAAAGATGACTTAGTAAGAACAGAGATAAGATATGAAGGCTAGTAAAATAAATCAATTTCATTTAAATTTACTTTACTGCAATAAATCTTAAAAATAATGATGTGAGTGGTCAGTAAATACTCATACTAACCAACTGTACTAGTTAGTCACATCGAAGTGGTTGAAAATAGACATTTTGCTAGTTTAGTGAATCACTGGAATCATTCAGCAGTATACAATATGATGTTGACATTACAGGGTAGGTTGATTAATGGAGAGAAGTCAGGTTTTCTGGCAATAAGTAAACATAATATAGACTTAGATGCAGTGAAAAACTGGAATTTTGAGACTTTCTTGATGGATATAAATTTAAAAAGGACATATACTAAAGTATAAGGCGTGATTATTGATGCATTCGTAAGGGAATCGTATTACACTGATGTGATATTCATATTGTCATGAGCGGGGATCGACTACGTAAAAACTTATACCGTATATTATACTTAGTTCCATAATTCTACTTCATAGTTAAAAAGAAATTTTGTAAAATGGCATTCAGTGCTAACGAAGTTGATTTATACAATTCCTTTGATCAACGGAAATGAAGCAAATTCATGAAAATTGTAAATAAAGATTGCTGGTTCTTCAACTTCTCTAATTGTGTGTGTATAAAACTTACTTGAGCCATCGTCAAATGTATGCATACCTTCTAGATGATTAAAGTGTTAAAGGAATTTTAGTTTCGTTTATTATGAATTAACGAACTGACTGTATGACAAATACAGATTAAAATTTCAAAGTTAGTGTTTTTGGACGCCTGTTACTATGCCGTCTGGTTACTTGGTAGTTCAATGATTAACTCCTATGATTAGAAAAAGGTTAAATTCTGAAGAGGTCTAACTTTTGGCTATCCCTTAGCTAGTGTGATGAGAAAAAGTGTATAAACTACTTAGAATAACATTCACATTTCATGGAAAAAGGTTATGTCAAGGCGCAGAATCAAATAATAATGTTTTATAGTATTTAGTCATGTTTGATTTCCATCTGTCACTTTAAAATGTATACAGAGGCGACGAAGTATCAATTGTTTTTCACAAATTATTCACGTGAACAATAAATCTACGGTGTCTGTTGCTAAGTTTACATTTCTTTAGCCATCGGCTAGTGGTGTGCATAAGTATACTAGTAAAGAAGCTCATCTCTGAGTGGTATTTATAGAATTGTCTTGAATAGAAGTAATGACAAATATTATTTCTACTATTCACCATTGCATTAGAACAGCAGTGTTTCGAATGAATAAAGCGACTAGTTAGAATTTTAAAGACTCTAGATATAATAATTGTTCGATCATGTTGTCCATTGTTTATTTATTTGATTAAATGGAGGATTTCATCATGAACTAATATCAGTTAGAGAACCACTGGAAAACCTGGAAGTACTGGACAGTTGTTCCGTTGGCCTAGTTTGGGACTCTTCATCAGTACGCACCTGTTGGGGTTCGAACCCAGAACTTTCTGGTTACAAGTCGAGCTCGTAGACCACTGAGCCAAACTAGTACTCCCAGGTTTTCCAGTGGTTCTCTAACTGATGTCAGCTCATGATGAAATCTTCCATCCAATCAAACAAAATCCCTACAAAGCCAATACTTCGAAGCTTATTTATTTGATCCAAACATGTGTACTGATTAAATATAACTAGCCAGAAATGATAAAAGAATGACCTTGTCAGAACGATTAGTTTTCTAGTTGTTGATTTGCTATTCAGTGGATGATCCCTAATTGTTTACATCATACTTCCATCTCATCTAATTTTCACCAGCATGCTGGGAACCCCTTTGATAACGTTGCGAAATATATTTAAATGATTCTTAAATACAGTAAGATATATACAGTGCCTAAGAACTGCAAATTAGGATAAAACTAACGTTGATTCTCCGTTCATCTGATAATGTTTGATAATGGAGATTACACATTCAATATTTAAAAAAAGAACATCTGTTAAATAATTATAGTAGAGCTAACATTAACTAACTGAAAACTATCCCCCCCCCAAAAAAAAACAGAGATAGACAATACTCTTTTGCCTTTCCATCCCTCTGTGTACCAATGGTTGATTTATTCTTGTTTAGTTGAATACGATGGAAAAAAAGCAAGCTATGAAGAATTGAAACGGATCTTAGATAAGCAATATGGTAGGTGTGCAGTTTGTTAATTATTATTGTTAACGCTTATATGATCATTTGTATTGAGTATGGGGGAAATATTCAAAGCGAAATCAACACTTTTAGTTCCATAGCACCACTTGTAATAAAGTCATATTTAACAGTGATATTGTCATTTGGGTGTAAGCTTGGCTTGATTTAAACATGTGTTACTTAGTGAGATACCAGTGTCAAATACTTCTGATAAATAATTTTCTAGTATTGGTTTGTAGAGATTTGATTGATTAGTTACAGGATTTCACCATGAGCTGAAATTGGTTAGAGAACCATTGGAAAACCTGGGAGTATTGGGCAGCTGTTTCGTCCTAGTTTGGAACTCTTCGGCAGTACGCACTCACCGGGGTTCGAACCCAGGACCAGGACCAGCTCACTGGCGACTGACCCTATTCAGGTAGGTAGTTACCTGGGGTTCCAGTGGGAAGTCGTGACCAGTAGGGTGCGGCAGGTCAGGTGTGAGGACAAATACTCGCCGAAGACATTGGCTAGCGGTTGCACTATATCGTGAATTGTCAGAAGTTAGAATTCATGGGCCATTGGATCGGGTCCCAGTGGCTTAATGGTATACGAGCTCGCCTTGTAACCAGAAGTCCTGTCGGTGGTGCGTACTGATGAAGAGTCCTAAACTAGGACGAAACATCTATCCAGTACTCCCAACTGGTTTTCCAATGGTTCTCTAACCAATGTCAGCTCATGATGAAATCCTGTAAACAAATAATTTTCTATTATAAATGTCGTTCTTTTTGAAATTTGATGGTTAGATTTTAATTTGGTGTGTGATGATAACTTAAGAATAGGAATCTTGTTGTTAAATGAGTTAGTTTGTATAACAGTGGCTCACTTGTAAAGTCACTTAACTTTAACGCATAGTAAAACCTAAGTAACTAAGGGCAGAATTACAGTCCTGAGGCTTGTTCAAAGGACGCAGCAGTGGGATTGTAAGGAACTAAGTAGAACACTGTGGGATGATGAGTTACATACGCTGACATGCACTTTCCAGGTACGAATATCATGACATATGCTTTTGAACTTTGTAGTTAGACTTATTTCAGGTCATTATTATCAGTGCGTAATCATCTTCATCTGTTTACCTGTTATATCACACAAATCACTGCTTTTGATCGAAACATTGTGAAATTCATTTTGAATTATTCAGTCATCAACATAAACTGATAGTGGTGGAGCAATATTAATCGAGGTCAAAAATTTGAAATGTTGTGTTCTTGGATGAGTTAGCAGGCTTATTTTATTATATAAATATCGTCATATAGATGAGCTACGCAACACTTTGAGCATATCCTCGAAAAGGTTGATAGTAAGATGTAACGATCATCTAGTGACCTTTTTTTACAGCTGTTTGCTTTTGTCGATTTAGTTTTTTTGAAAAAATCCGCCTTGAAGTCGAACATACCGCCATAATTCAATTGTTTGAATATGAAACGATATGTCGCCTGTAAATCCCGTCATGATGTTTGAAGTTTAAATATGCATAATTACTAGGCTTCCTGTTTTGTCAATTTCTGAACATTTAATCGTATACTATTTCAGGTGAAGAATTCAACGAAATTACAGATTTTGATGTAGAACGTGAAAAAGTGAAGTTAGCAGAGCTTCAAGGTGAATCAATTACTTTGTAATTATTTTTAATTTTAAATGAGAAGTTTGTTTAATCGGTTGTTTGTCCAAGTTGTTAAGTTTGTTTTAGTTCTTGTTGTAGTCACCACTATTTCTCTGCTTGTTAACATCACACTGAGAAAGAAATAATTTGCAAGTAATGGTTGACTGATTGTCCTCAATGATTCCGAATCTGTCAGGCACACACGATTCTCTAAACTGATACATATTATGAGAAAAATTTACGGAAATGAAGGCATATAATTAGAAGTTTTATTGAAAGTAAACAGAATTAACTGGTAGAAATTGAGTTAAGGAAGCGAAATAAATAGAAATGAATAATAAGTTTAGAATTGAAAGGTTACAACTGACAGCTTCGTTATTATGATTATGCCCAGCATCGCATATGTCCTTTAAAACTTTTATTCACTTATAACGGTGATGCCAAAGATTTGTCCTTTTTGAACTCATAAAATAAAGGCTTCATCTGAAATTTTTCACAATTTTAACGGAATAATTATGTCTGATTCAAATTTGGGATTAAACCATCACATTATAATTGCTCACTTTTGTTGCAAGTGCAACATCGGGCTTCAAAGATACATCTCCATTTCATCCTGTCCCATGTAGTCCTCTTCAGCCAGCTCCACGATTGCCTATAGGCTGTCACCTCCTCCCACACAATAACTCCTCCACCTCATCCTCTGATCCACAACAAACTCGTCGTTTCCCAGTCGCGTTCCACTCGAGGACCTGTCTGACTCACGGTGTCATCCGACAATCTACTCAACGCGTGTCCCATCCATCGACATTTCCTGTGTCACATTCGTAGAGTGATAGGTTCTCGATTGATTCACTCCCAGAGTCTCCTACTGATCATTCTGTCTGACTGGCCATCTGATATTGAGTATGGAGGCAGCGAAGCAACTATTGATAAACGTCTGCAGTTGGCTGTTGGAAATACTTCTCGTGATGCGCAGTGCAGGTTTCTGACTCATATAGAAGGACTGACTGATTGACTGAGCTAGCATTGATGTTGAGAATCGGCGTTTTGTCGTTTGTGGTGAGTTCAGGAGATTGAGGCATTGATTTCAGAGTGATGAGGGTTTGTCTTGCCTTTCCGATTCTGGCTGGCTTTGACATCTTCTTGCATGTTGTCTGTGGTTTATAAGATGCGACCTAGTGAGATAAGTGGAGGAAGTGACCACTTACAAATTTTTCCCACTGATAGTGATTGGTGATAGTTGTTATTATTGGTTGGTAATAAATCGACCTAATTTTCCTGAAATACTACTTGTACTTTTACGTATTTCTCTCACCCCTCTGACGACCATGAAATCTTATTGGTTGCTCACTGTTTTAATTTCTCGGCGGATTTAGCGTCTTTAAAGATCATTTAAAGCAAATGTACACGAACGCTGTCAAACATTTTTCATTGTTGATACGAGACAATAAAAGCCGTCCACATCAACTGTCTGTCTGCTCTACTTGTCTTCTTGCGTCGCATTTTCAGTGGCATGCAGTCGTGTTGTTGTTGTGTTTGCTAATAATGGTTAGAACAATATGCTCGTGAATCAACTAGGTAGGGAATTTGTTAGTGAACTACGAAGTGTATTTTCGGTCATATCAGTTGGTTATCTTCATTACCTCCGTCTTCTCTATTTTCACAAGAATTCCTGTCGTCAGCGTCTACTTCTCCTGTCAACTGTTTGGTTTCGGGTTTTAAGTCTTCGAGCTTGTGTGACATTGGACATGAATGATCTACGAAGTCCTGATCTTCTGGAGTCTCCATGTGGGTCCAATGTACCTCTGTCTTCTCGCTCCTCATTCACGGTCTATGACATAATCGATAAACGTTTTGATTATTCCTAATTTCACAGTGGTTTATTGTTTCGAAGGACTTTTCAGGGTCGATGAATTCAGGTACATATTTGGCTGCCATTCTGTGCACTTGCAGTTGCCGTTTGATGCCCATATGTTTCTCTTCTCCTGAATCCATCTTGTTGCGGGTGGAGTTCACCAGTCAGTACATCTGTTAAGCTATGTCTCAAATAAAATATTTGTGGCATTATCACCAGTGTGGTTATCTCGTTCAGGATAATTTGACTTAACTAACAGACGAATTTATGTCAGTGTGCGGTTTTGCTATGCACTTAAAGCGTAGAAATGATAGGCTAGTATTAGAAGACAAGAAAAGATAACAGTTTTATTTGGATCTGGTTACCTGTAAAAAATGCTACTAGAAGCTGTCTGCAGTTATACGTGAATGTATACTGTTTTGTCATACAATATCATACGCTGCACAGAAAACATTAAAAAATGATTTACTTTATTGTCAGATTTGTCTCTCTTTGCATCTTTCAATGTTGCTAATCAGTAGACACCTTATCTGTCGAGTTCACAGCTTAAAATTGTGCTGAATGAGAGTAGCTTCACCTACCAGACAGCAGTCCAATAGTGAAACATATTACCTAGATTTTGTAACTGTAAATATGAAAAATAAAGATTATTGACAGATATGTAGATCTTGAAGACATATAAAGCTTTACTAAAAACGAATTCTTGGACTATCCTGATATTCGTCTAATTTTAACGCTTTTCACTGAATCAGTAAACGAAAGTTTCCTAGCCCGGAGGCTGATTTCTAGATAAGAATTAAAGTCAAATTTAAACGAGAGAGATATCACTTTTTCAGTGTGGTAAAATATTTGAAAAAAAGTCTTTCGTTTTAACAGATGATATCATTAGAACTTTTGAAGTCATCAAGCACCATGAGTATCTTCCAAGTTCGCCGTATTCCGCAAATCAAACCATTCAGCTCTTTTTACTAAAGAGAAGTGAGAGTTATAGATTTTTCAGAGTCAACAGGGTTTGCAGAATATTAGATGAGTTTATTAAATATGACAGACTGTGCTTATAATTATATCAGTACATATGAGCAATATATTTCCCTCAAAACGTTATTCAGTTGATAATACTGTCTCACTGTGATATGTGTTGAACAAACGTGTCTCATATGAAATTATAGGTTACCAGAGTAGCTTATGCTTATTCTTACTTTAGTAATACCTACGATCTTTCTGTTTGAAGGCTACTGATAAGCTGTCACCACCGAATAATCCGCTTGTATTCATGTTGTATATACTGAAGATCAGATGGCCGGAAAGAATCACCAACAAGAAACTATGGGAACAAACAAAACAAGAACCAATCGCCCAACAAATATTCAGGAGAAAGTAGACATGGATTAGACACTTGCTGAAGAGGCCGTTGGGTGACATCGCGCGTCAGGCCAGTGCTCGAGTGGAACCCGAAAGGGAAGCGGCGAGTGGGACGTCCAAGGGTGACATGGAGGAGATCGTGTGAGGAAGAGTTGAAACAGTATGGAATAAAATGGATGCAGGTGAAAAGTACAGCAGAAGACAGAAGCAAGTGGAGACGTGCAGTTGAAGCCCTATGTTCCACTAGGAACCCAAGGGAACAATAATAATATAATAATTCATGTTGTATCATCAATACTATAACATTTTTTGAATTCTAGTTGTACTTAAATCTCTTCCTGAAAATCATCATAACACTGATTTGTCTATATTCACTTTCTATTTTAATGAATAAATAGACAATCTGAAACTAAAGAAAAAGGAAATGGCCGGTATACGAGATCAGTTGAAATTGGAGCAAAGTAAGAAGCATTTTTACATATATTTATCAGTTCACTTTCGATAGTTATTCACATCACAGATATTTAGATTGCCGCCAAGACCCTTTGATACTAATCAGTTGAGTACATTCAATTTATTCTGATGTGGTTGCGTTCTCTGAGCTGGATAGTAAATTGCGTACAAACACTATTCAAGAGAGTCAGGAATCATAACAGCACTCCCACCCTAAAGAAAATTGAAGAAAGATATCTCATGGACGTCTTCCAAAAGAATGGATAAGCACGGAATTTCACCAAAAGACATATACCCCCAAGCCAACCTATCAAACCAAAAGAAAGCACAAAGAAAGTCGCCCTGACATATATAAAGGATATATCAGAAACCACTGCATGACTCGCCAAACCTATAGGAATTGACGTCGCACACAAACCAACAAAATCACTTCACTCAATTCTATGTCAACCAAAAGACTCAACAGCGAAAGAAGATAAAACCAACATCATCTACAAAATGAATTGTAACAACTGCGAAAAACACTACATTGGCCAAAATGGACGCCCTTTTCGTCTTCGTATCCATGAACATAAGCTAGCTGTCAAAAGACATGACATCCACTCCCTCATATCACTACATACAGACAACCACGGGCATCAATTCGATTGGGACAATGTTCAAATATTAGACAGAGAAAACATCAAGAATGCTAGAGAATTTTTTAGAAGCTTGGGATTCCAGTGAATCATCAATCAATAGACACGTCGAGATTGACAAAATTTATCAACCGATAAGAAAGAAACCTAACACACAAAGGGTCAAAGTTCAAGTCAAAGAAACAATCAATTCCAATACAAGTAGCCTAGAGGGTGTGAAAACACACAAAACAACCAATCACGTCCAGGGTCACCGGGAGAGATGATTAATAAACTCATGGAAAAATCTAAAAGCTCACTTCAAATTGAAGTATGCGCTGAAGATGTCACCTAGTAGGGTGATGAGAGCTTCGCAAATTAACTATCTAGCTCAGAGAACACAACCACATCAAATTCATCCACCTGAGCTACAAATCTTCTCCATCAAATCTACATTCAATTTAATATGGGTAATACCTTAGTCATAAATGAGTGCCGTTGTCAACTTTGATATATGCCTAATATCATACAAACTCGAAGATCTACAGGAGAAATCCAACAAGCTGGTAGAAGAGAAATCAAAGATGCGACTTCATGTGTACATAGCGAAGGCGGCGTAGATGAAGATATTTGACGGATAATCATCCTCGACGGGGTTAAGCTAGCGGAAGTCATTACTTTCACTAACCTGAGTAGTATCATTTAAACTATAGACGGCACGAATGAGGATATCAAAGGTAGGATCGAAAAAGTAAGAGAGACTATCATCAATCTGAAATCATTGTGGAAATCTCCCGAACTCAACATGAACAACAAGATTCGGAGTTTTAACACTGATATCAAGTCACTGATTGTATATATATATATATTTTCCTTCACGTTCCCCAGTGGAACATAGGGCTTCAAGCTAGAGGCTTGAAGTTTCTGTAGCAGTGTTTATTTTACAGGATGGGGTTGCTAGCCTCATGCCGAACCTTTCCTCTTCACCATTATTATTTCTGGCTTGGCGAGGTAAAGGAGTGCGTTGGTGGCCGGGGATCGAACCCCGGACCATGTGCATGGTCGGCGAGCGTCCTAACCGCTATGCCACCGACTCCACTGATTGTATACGGTACAAAAACTTCGAGAACGTGTCAGGAGAAACATTTTCAGCAGTCTGCTGCAGGCTTTCAATAACAACTGCCTTCGCTCCATTTTAAAGTTTAGATGGATAGAAAGAATTAACAACAAGTAACTCTGGTAACGAAACAATCAAGAACGTACTGTCTAACGAATATGTCGAATTAAATGGAGATGGATCAGGAACCCGTTGAGGAGACCTTTGAGTGATAGCAAGCGCCAGAACTTCAAGTGGAACCTAAATGAGAAACGATGAGTAAGGTTATGTATGGTCCGAGGATGATATGGAGGAGAACGTATGAGTAGGATATGACAAAATATGAGCAATCGTGAAGACAGCTACAGAGGACTACAAAGAGTGGAACAAAGAAGAGGTAGGCCACTAAAGACCTATGTTCCACTCAAAATTCAAAGGAATAATAAAATATATAAATAAATATAGCCTAATTTAAGAGGTACTTTGTGAAAACGCTGTAAACGTTACAAATCTTTCCATAGTTTGGTTTGTAAGGGTTTGTTATGTTTTTACGAGTTGATCACGGATTGATATCAGTTAGAGAACCATTGAAAACCAGGGAGTACTGGACAGCTGCTGTTTCATCCTAGTTTGGGGATCATCGGCAGTACGCACCCACTGGGATTCGAACCCAAGACCTTCCGGTTACAATTCAAGCCAGTATACCATCAAGCGACAGTGGTTGGGGTAGCGCTAAATCAAGAATTGGTATAAGTTAGAATTCATGAGCCACTGAATCGGGTCCCAGTGGCTGAATGGTATACAAATCTTTATTTCATATATGTTTGGTTTACATTTGTCAGAAGAACCAGACTATTAACTATCTTAAATTTGGTAGAAATAAATGGTACAGTGTAACTGACAGGAGTGAGCAAAACTCAAATAAAATTGATGAAAGGGAGTCCCAAGCATGACCCAAGCATCCTAAAAGAAAGTCAATGTATCAGCTTTTTTAATATCTGCCTCATAAATTTCACATTCATAAATACATTGCCTTGTTTGAAATTCATATCAGTATATGTCACTGTCATTAAAAGCTGTAACTAATATTTCATCTAACCATTTTGTTTTGTCATTATTATTTGCAGTTACAATTCAGGATTATATAGACGAAATTAAAGCACGAGGAGATGCACTGCGGACAAACATTTCGGTAGATAGGAGTAAGTTAAATTATTTTGTTCTAAATAAATTTGTGGGTTGGTACATGCATATTATTGAAAGTAGTTGATTCTGTTACATAAGAAGTATCGAAAAATGGTATTTGGAATCTTAATAGAACATTCTGAAGGTGGCCAATTCATTAACTAAGTCAAACTATTAAGGCTGTATATGATTTGTAAAGTAATAGTTTGGTCCATGTACAGTCGATTAGTGGAACATAGTTGAACAAAACTTACTACAAGAGACTATTTGTATCCGGCTGCTTGTCTGCTCTGATTTCTTGGAGCTGGAAGCTGAAAAAAGAGACGTATGTATGTGAACTTATTATTACTGTATTACTATTCTCTTGCGTTACAAATTGAACATAAGGCTTCAAAGATACATCTCTGTTTCGTCCTGTCCCATGTAGTTCTCTTCAGCCAGCTCAACGATTGCCTATAGGCTGTCACCTCCTCCCACACAATAACTCCTCCACCTCATCCTCTGATCCACAACAAACTCGTCGTTTCCCAGTCGCGTTCCACTCGAGAACCTGTCTGACTCACGGTGTCATCCGACAATCTACTCAACGCGTGTCCCATCCATCGACATTTCCTATGTCACATTCGTAGAGTGATAGGTTCTCGATTGATTCACTCCCAGAGTCTCCTACTGATCATTCTGTCTGACTGGCCATCTGATATTGAGTATGGAGGCAGCGAAGCAACTATTGATGAACGTCTGCAGTTGGCTGTTGGAAATACTTTTCGTGATGCGCAGTGCAGGTTTCTGAAGGACTGGCTGATTGACTGAGTAACCGAGCTAGGATTGATGTTGAGAATCGGCGTTTTGTCGTTTGTGCTGAGTTCAGGAGATTGAGGCATTGACTTCAGTGTGATGTCCACATCTTCTGGAGTCTCCATATCGGTCCAATGTATTCCTGTTTTTTTTATCCCCTACAATCTATCACATAATCGAGAGGAATTTCATGGATAATACTTGGTGGCGTTGTATAAGTGAATTAACCTTGAACCCATCATAAAATGTTTCATTAACATAATTCAAGGATAGCTCAGAAGAATTAAAATTAAGACGGCAATGAAAATATAAGTTTGCAGATTTAAAACACATAAAATGACAGAATGTTAGAACCAGTTAAATAAACAAAGACATATTACACTCAGCGTCAAATACGGGTAATGCAACAATGGATTTTCAAAAACTCAAGCAGTAATACCTCAAACCTTTTATCTGCATTATAGCACATTCACCTTAATACACTCAAAACCAACAGTTTAGACCATTTTGTTATCAGTCATCATTTTAACTAATCCACACCAGTAGATAATGTGGAATTTACGTAATAGCCACTTTAATCGGTGACTTGACAAAAGTCTACTTAAGTAGTTTATCTTCATTATCCGATACTGTATACTGTCTAGTCCTTTGTCCGGTGCAGACTGAATTCTATCAGTCAGGTTTGCAATGTGGACACCATTCTAGGTAGCTCACCATCATGGTGCACATTGATTTGATGATATTAGATGGTTGGAGGCAATCGGCCACAGGAAGACTTCCAACTAGGTTTCGTCCTAGTTAGCACTCACCTGTCAGCAAGGCGTATCACAATAGTCACTAGTGTCCAGTCAAAGTATCCAGTAGAGTCCTACAGGAGGTCAATGGCGAACTCGAATAGCTCAGTGGTAACTTCTCTGACTGCAGCATTGAGTGACGCGGGTTCGAATCTCTGAAGGGACATGAGTTCCTTCAAGTTTGCAGATACGCCTTGCTGGCTGGTGAGTGCCAACTAGCACGAAACCTAGGTCCAAGGCTTCCTGCCAATTGCCTCCAACCATCTAATATCATCAAGTCTTGAAGAATATCGTTTGACATGCGGTCACAGCCTGAATCTGAAATAGATAAAGTCATATAGGCAATATGTTTGGTTTTTTGAAATTATTCAGGAATTGTGGTATCACCAGAAAACGATATCAGTTGGTGAAGGGTGAATAATTTTCGATATGAATTTCTTAACACCTAATAGACATCCACTAGCAATAAAAATGATGCAATTGACGCATTCTTTCATTCACAAGCGTAAGACCACAGAAGCTTAACAAAATTGTTAGATCAATGAGTTGGGAGAACAGGCAGACAAGCTAGAATTTTGGGTGAACACATTGGAGACGAGTGATGAACCAACAATAAACAACATCAAGTACCATCAGTAGAAGTCTGTTTTATTTACTTGGATAGCAGCATATGAACTACTAGCTGTAAGAATGAGGATATCAAGACAAGCCAGGATGAGATAGGCGGGGCAAGAGTGGCGTTCATCCTACTAGGATCAATCCTGACGACTATGGGACTCAGTGAAGAAGGAAGATCCGGATTTTCACAATTAATGTCAAGTCACATCTACTTTTTGCTTCAGAAACTTGGCGTGTGCGTTACTTTAACTCATCATTATATTTGTTGTCTGTCAGACGTTGAAGTTATATTCAGTGTGTGTCTCATCTGTTTGTTTGCATTTTGTGGTATTCATATTTCTCTCACACTACTGAATATAACTCCCCTTTTCGTGATACTTATACTCTGTTGACCATAAATACGTTGATGCGTCATTCATTTGTCTTATCTCTTCTCAAAATGACTGTACATTTTATAGGCTTTCAGTTCACAATGTTAACTAGCGGACTATTATCCCATCTTATACTTGTACCCTGATACAATTTCGTGAATTTATAACTGTAAAGCCTGAAGAATTTACTGAAAACAACTATTCTGTCGAAGGTCATCTTGTTCTGATTTTACAGTGGAGGTATTTAAATTAAAAGCAGTTCTGACAGGTTATCACAGACTTTCATCAACATCTTCCTTTTTTAGCTCGATATTAAAAATTAGAAGCTGGTCGGTAGGATAAGCAACAACAAACTCTAGGAACGCAACAAAAACAGTCAAGAACCTGTTACTTAACAAATATATAGAACGTAGTGAAGATGAATTGGGTATACGCTGAAAAGATATTTATGTGATATCCCACTCCGGCCTCTCAAGTGAAATTAGAATAAGAAGTATCACGTTAAATGTGCAATATAAAAATACTATGATTATAGAACAGAAAATAAATTAAGGCCCAATGCTACACCCGGAATTCTGAGGAATAAATAATGTAGTGATAAAAACTGTAAGCATTCCATTTGTACAAACACACTGTCGTTTCCGGAACAAACTTTAATCGTTTGTATTATAACAGGTGATATTTGTATATATATATATATAACTACTTAAATTTATAACAACATTCTTTATTCTCGAAAAAAATATATATGCAGAAAAAATGTTAGAAATACGACAAAGAATTGTGGGAATTGATAAAGAGTTGAATAGTAAAACAAGTAAATTATTTCGGAATTTTTTCCCTACATTTTGTTTTATCTAATTTTAAAACAATTAGTCCCTTTGATAAATTTGAATAAGGCATTAAGAAGACAAATTTCGCGAGATAATATCATTTCGTAGTTTCTTTACAACCGCTTTACAACTAACATGGTTAACAATAATAAAATAAAGTTCATGACAATTACTCAGTTAAATAAAAAACGAAAGTACATACTGATGACCAATCATATTTAGATAGGTCATGTTGTCCATGGTAGGCGGAGATTGAAGTCTATTGTTTTTTGTACACACAGTTTAGGCTGTATGTGATTAATCCAAAGTGCTTCCATCACCTTCAGTAACTTTGAATTAGAGTTATGTGAAATAATTGTGAAACAGTCATTAATATTGATTTTGTGACCTGATATTAATAAGTGTTTTGCAATGGATGATGCTGGATTTCTATTCAGATTACTGGCATTGGGATTTTCTATATGATTTAGTAGCCATTTTGGAACATGTTCTTTTCGAAGACATTGGAACATTCTGTTGGTTCTACCTATATAGGTGTCATCGCAGCTGCAGGTGAACTTGTAGATACAGTTTGAAGTAGAGTCTATAGAATTTCGTCCTTTAATCGTAGGTACAGGGATCGAAAATGTTCGGCATGTGAGAAAAAGAGATGCGGCGTAGAATGTGCGTTTGATGGCTGACCGAAGTCTTTGAGTTAGCTGTCAACTGCATAATCTGGTCACCCTTGAATGGTAGGTTAATAAAGATAGCTTTCTTTGGTACAAAAGCTGTCTTTTCGAGATGTGGTCTTTCTTTACTGTGACAAGTGATAAAGTTTTCTGGATAACCATTAGCTAATAAAACTGAATGTATATGTCGAAACTCATCCATCACTGTGTCACTCGTGCATATTTTTCGGGCCCTTGAGAACAAACATTTCACTAGGGAACGTTTATACTGGATAGGAACAAAACTGGTAAAATGAAGATATTGTCCACTCCATGTCTGTTTACGAAAAATAGATCTCTGAATCATTCCATCATCTCTCCTAGTCATAGTAATATCCAGGAAACCGAGTTTGTTATTCGATTCGAGTTCGGAAGTCACTCGAATATTTGGATGAATATGATTAAATAGGGTAATAAAGTTTTCAATAGATTTACTATTATTACCAATAATGAGAGTATCATCTACATAACGTTAATACAGCATAAATTCTCCAAGTATGCCTTGCATTTGTCTCTCCAATTTCGACATGAAAATATCTGCTAACAGGAGCCCAAGAGGGCTACCCATCGCAACACCATCGATTTGTTTGTATGCCTTTTCTTGGAAGGTGAATCTAATATTTTCTGTACACATTAAGATGATGTCTCTGACCTATCTAAATATGATTGGTCATCAGTATGTACTTTTGTTTTTTATTTAACTGAGTAATTGTCATGAACTTTATTTTATTATTGTTAACCATGTTAGTTGTAAAGCGGTTGTAAAGAAACTACGAAATGATATCATCTCGCGAAATTTGTCTTCTTAATGCTTTATTCAAATTTATCTAAATTTGTTTTTCCAATAAGTTCTAATTAAATTTTTTTGAAGAAGTTACACACATGCTGATGTAATGACTTATGAAAAGCTATGCGGATCTTTGATAAAATTTCTTTGGTATTTTCTTTACTCAAGTAAAAAAAGATTTAAAAAACAAACTGAATAAGCTGAAGACGAAACTGCGAAATGAAGTGGATGATATAAGCGGTATTTACTGTCATTATATATCAGTTCTCTTTTACATTTCTTTTAAATGACGCGCTTAATTTAAAAATAAGGTATTCTGTAGTTTATTTACAACAGACTGTGTGTACATGTAGTTAGTAGTTAATGAATTTTTGTTGTAATAGATTGAAGCTGGCGTTTGACACAATATGTTCCAGTCTCCTTGAGGATACCATTACCCACTGTGGATGCAACAGCATACAGCTGACGATTCCTCATCTCAGAATCTAATGCTAATCACCATCAACAAAATGAAAGTAGACAACGTTGAAGAGAATGTACTAGGAGCAGGCGAATCAACCAAGACCGAAGGTTTCGCTCTAATACAATCAGTCAAGGAGAAATGTAAACCAAATTAAACAGATAAACCTGCTGTTGCGGAGAATTACAACGTGATTTGTATTTTATTTACAGAATCTGTTGAGATATTTGACTAAACTGACTGAAGCATTGCAAATAACCAGCCAATAAATAAAATATATCTTAGCATATTCCGTAAATAGTGTCTTCTTGCTATTTGAAGGCGGGGGTAGCCTATGAAAGTTCCCGTGAAGAAAAGGGGACAAAAGTAGTTCGGTGAAGAGAACTTACCTATTACGTGACGTCATCGTTGGAAGCTGTTTATGTATATATATATGGTTTATTCTCAGCTTTGTTATCATGGAATGATAGATGAATGCCATCCTGACGTTGCTATTATAGCTGATATGATACGATTTTTCCTGTCTGTTCTATTCGCGTTAATATATATGCCTTTCAATATACATTATAGCTTTTATATAATATCCTTTATATATATGACTTAGATATTTTGTGTTATGCTGAGTTTTGTGAGAACAGTTTATTGCCTTTTACCACTGATAAAAAATTGTGATTATCTGTATCAAGGATGACACTTAATGTATCAGTCAGACGTTTTACTTTCTTGTTAAGCTACTTCTCAAACGTTCATAACAATTGCAAAAACACACCGGATTTGTATATATATACAAAACAAATATAAATTCTTACTGTGGAACTCCTTTAAATGATATATTCCTACTCCATGAAAGACGAAAATTGATTGTCAGCTATTTCTGCATTCATGACATCTTCAAGCCTGATTACTTCTCAGTTCTTAGCTGTTTGTTTCAAAATAAGCCTTCAGTTAAACATATGTATACAAATGGTCTCATCATTAAATCATACGGTGCACAATTTTGTGTTTCAGGTCTACTAACTGATATGAGGACTGAACAACAGAAATCAGAGAAGAAATTACTTCAAGCTAAAGGTTAGTTAAATAGGATACAGAATCAACAGAATAAATCCAATTGATTCGTTTATTTCAATCTGTTTAGTTCATTTCAACCGTTTTAAATATATTACTAATTGACTAAATAGCCTAACAGAGTCACTGATAATGATGAGATAATAATTTTAGATTGGTCAAGGAGGGAAAGCGCAACGCATGTAAAAATAATAGTTTTAAAATAAGTCATTTTTCCTCTATTATATAATTAGAAGAAAAAGACCGCTAAACATTTATGAAGTCTTCATTCTGATGTAGTTTTGTTCTCTGAGCTGAATACTTAATTTGCGAAGCTTTCATCACCCTACTAGGTGACATCTTCAGCGCATACTTCAATTTGAAGTGAGTTTATTAATCATCTCTCCCGGTGACCTTGGACGTGATTGGTTGTTTTTGTGTGTTTTCAAACCTTCTAGGCTACTTGTTATGTCATTGATTGTTTCTTTGACTTGAACTTTGACCCTTTGTGTGTGACTATTCTTTCTTATTGGTTGATAAATTTCGTCTATCTCGATGTGTCTATTGATTGATGATTCATTGGAATGCCAAGCTTCTAAAAATTCTCTAGCATTCTTGTTATTTCCTCTGTCTAATATTTGAACGTTTTCCCAGTCGAATTGATGCCCGTGGTTGTCTGTATGTAGTGATATGAGGAAGTGGATGTCATGTCTTTTGACGGCTAGTTTATGTTCGTAGATACGAAGACGAAGAGGGTGTCCATTTTGGCCAATGTAGTGTTTTTCGCACTTGTTACAATTCATTTTGTAGATGATGTTGGTTTTATCTTCTCTCGCTGTTGAGTCTTTTGGTTGACATAGAACTGAGTGAAGTGACTTTGTTGGTTTGCGGGGTGTAGGTGGGAGTGCTGCAATGAGTCCTGGCTCTCTTGAATAGTGTTTTTATGCAATTCCTTTTGTGTGTTATTGTATTGTTGCTGTTGTAATTAAGTATTTGATCTGTGTGAGTTGATTTTCTTTAAACTTGGGTTTCTAATTCCCTGTGGATGTCGTTGAAGACGTTATTTATTAAGTTGTGAGTTTTTTCTAACTCGTTTCTTTTGATTATTACAAATGTGTCGTCTACGTAATGTGTCCAAATCTTGGGTTTTGATCTTTGGTAGGATTATGTTTTCGAGCCTTTGCATCACTGCTTCTGCACTGCAGAAAAAACTCACAACTTAATAAACAACGTCTTCAACGACATCAAATTCACAAGAGAATAGGAATCCGAGAACAAATCCCATTTTTGGACGTATTAGTGAAGCGAACTACAACGGGGGAATTAGAAACCCAAGTTTATAGAAAATCAACTCACACAGACCAAATACTGAATTACAACAGCAACAATCCAATAACACACAAAAGGAATTGCATACAAACACTATTCAAGAGGGCCAGGACTCATTGCAGCACTCCCACCCTAGAGAAAATTGAAGAAAGATATCTCATGGACATCTTCCAAAAAATGGATATCCACGGAATTTCATCAAAAGACGTAAATCCCCAAGCCAACCTATCAAACCAAAAGCCCTTAAAGAAAGCACAAAGAAAGTCGCCCTGACATATATAAAGGATATATCAGAAATCACTGCATGACTCGTCAAACCTTTAGGAATTGACGTCGCACACAAACCAACAAAATCACTTCACTCAGTTCTATGTCAACCAAAAGACTCAACAGCGAAAGAAGATAAAACCAACATCATCTACAAAATGAATTGTAACAAGTGCGAAAAACACTACATTGGCCAAAATGGACACCCTCTTCGTCTTCGTATCTACGAACATAAACTAGCCGTCAAAAGACATGACATCCACTTCCTCATATCACTACATACAGACAACCACGGACATCAATTCGATTGGGAAAATGTTCAAATATTAGACAGAAGAAACACCAAGAATGCTAGAGAATTTTTAGAAGCTTGGCATTACAGTGAATCATCAATCAATAGATGCGCAGAAGTCACCTAGTAGGGTGATGGAAGCTTCGCAAATTAACTATCCAGCTCAGAGAATACAACCACATCAAAATCATTCACCTGAGCTACAAATCTTCTCCATCATATGGAAGTCTTCATTGGCTGTTAAATTTAAATTATTTCTTTCTAATATTTTCTATGAAAAAGATGGTGAGAAAACATTCACTGAAACATAGGCCACATTGAAAATGTTCTGCAGAGCTCGATCTGGGTGTGAAAATAATGCAAAGTGCTTTGATGTACATTATCTTATCAAACGTCTTAGACCTCATCTTTCGCTATGTCTACAGAATTGATCAAATTTTGTATGTTAAAGTGAGAAACAGATCGCAATTCTGTTATTACATTGTCCAATACATATTGACTACTCAGACATTTTTCTTTTACATGTGAATACCTAGTTTGTAAGACTTCTATGTATAAGTGAGATATTCTCATCATTCCAAGTGTCTGGAGTATTTGAGGCTAAGTTTGGTAAATCTCTGAAGTGTTCTGATTTAACTACAAACTTTAATGAATTCCCTAAGCAGTCATTCATCACAATCTATGGCTACTTATATCTTCTTGACTGCCTAGTTTCTAGTAATAAAAAATAAAAAAATATCGTGAATTGGCAGAAGTTAGAATTCATGGGCCATTGGATCGGGTCCCAGTGGCTTAATGGTATACGAGCTCGCCTTGTAACCAGAAGGTCCTGGGTTCAAACCCCGGTGGGTGCGTACTGCCGAAGAGTCCCAAACTAGGACGAAACAGCTGTCCAGTACTCCCAGGTTTTCCAATGGTTCTCTAACCAATATCAGCTCATGATGAAATCCTGTAACCAATCAACCAAATCCCTACAAACCAATACTTGAAAACAAGATATTTTTTGCATGCCTACCAGTATTTTCTAATTAGGAGTAATTGGCACATACACAGAGCAAAAACATTTTACAATGATCATTTTTTTAAGGAATGATAGTCCTAAGAAAAAAGCAAATAAAGCATTCCTGATGTCATCAGTTAACTTTCAGCAGTTCATTCAAGGCAACCCTGACAATTTCTTTATTTGTTGATTGTATTTCTGAATATTTTCGAATAGCGGAGAAGACAAAAATAAATGATAATGGAAAATTGAATATACAACAAAAGCAAGTAGAAATCGACAGAATTAAAAGTAAGTTATAGTTTATTCCGGTCGAAACTGTGAAGTGTTTCATCGTTCATTTAGTTTCTAAAGTGAAAAATATTCTGTTTAAATGGACAGGGGAAGTTTCTTGTTGATTATTGTTACTTAGTTTACTGATGATACATTTTACTTTAACATTAGTGGCGAAATTTAAAATGGGAAAGTGTGTAGGAATATTTTCACAAGTGAAATAAAATGAAGACATACAAATACATATGCAAACTATTAGCCCTTCTTTAATTACTAGAATGTTGTAACACTAGACGATTAGATGAGAATAGATAATTGAATTTATTTCAAGTTTGATTGCGGATTGATTTCACTTAAGGAACCATTGACCGGAACAGGCTGGATTTAGGAGAAACAAGTCATGTATTGATCAGATCGCCACATTACGGATCATCATTGAACAAAGCTTGGAATGGCAGTCACCTCTCTATCTCAACTTCATCGACTTTGAAAAGGCCTTCGACAGCGCAGCATCGATCGAGAGGTGATTTGGCAACTACTTCGCTACTACGGGGTACCACTGACAATTATACATCTCATCCAACAGCTGTACGACAATGCTGCACGCCAAGTAATCCACAACGGGAAACTTACGGAACCCTTCGAAGTGAGGACAGGAGTAAGACAAGCTGGCTGCCTACTATCGACAATGATTTTCCTGATTGCAGTGGACTGGATAGTGCGACAAACAGTGGGCAATGAGGAAACAGGCATAAAATGGACTCACATAAAGAACTTGGAGGATCTGGACTTCGCCGATGATATATGTCTGATTTCCCACAAACTGGAAGACATGTAAGTGAAAAGCAACAAGTTGGTAGAAGAAGCATCAAAGATAGGAAGGACTTCAGGTGAACATAGAGAAAACAGAGGTGATGAAGATTCCTGGCCAACAGCAACAGTAACTACAATAGACAACAATCAGCATAAATAGGATAAATCTGAAAGAGGCGACCTCCTTTACTTACCTGGGAAGCATCGTTTCAACTACAGGCGGAACTGACGAGGATATCAAAGCAAGAATCGGAAAAGCAAGACAAGCTTTCACTACTCTCAAGTCTGTGTGGAAGTCAGGTCAACAGCACTCAGTGTGAAAAATAAAATCCGGATTTTCAACTCCAATGTGAAGTCAGTGCTACTATACGGATCAAAGACTTGCACTGCGCGTCATAAAGAGCATCTCAAACAAACTACAGACCTTCATTAACAGTTGTCTTCGCTCAATACTCAAGATCAGATGGCCGGCCAGAAAAGATCAACAACAGAGATCTCTGGCAATGAGCGAACCAACCAGGAACCGATTGTGAAACAAATAGACAGGAAGAAATGGTGATGGATTGGCCGTACTCTGAGGAAACCATCAAGTGACATCACTAGACAAGCCATCGCTCGAGTGGAACCCGAAAGGGAAGCGGCGAGTTGGTCGTCAGTGCAAGGGTGACTTGGAGGAGGTCATGTGAAGAGGAGATGAAAATGTGTGGGCAGACTTGGAGCCAGGTGAAGATTCTAGCAGAGAACCGAACGCAATGGAGACGCACGGCTGAAGCCCTATGTTCCTCTAGGAATTAAAGGAAATAATAATAATAGTAATAGTAATAAGGAACCATTGAAAAAAGTGAGTTCTTGACAGATGACTGAGAAATGATTATCATTAAAAGAAAAAAGAAGAAGAAGGGAGAACGAACGAAGATGGGTTATGTAGAACATTACTCTACAAGTCTAAAGAAGGAATTAGGCAATGCTGGCGAAATGAATTAGACTGACCGCTATTGTACGTACAGTCTTGTATTTTACTTAAATATCACATCAGAATGTTATCGTAACTCTTCAAACGGCTTGACCTTACTTTAGATGTCATCTTGAAAAGTTTCTGTTTTAATGATGAATAGTGTGTAAGAGTTCAGCTATCCCTTCCTCTAATTTTTCCCTCTGACAACCATATTGGAAGATGATCCGGTTGACTTCTAGAAAAGATCTTACTGATAAGACTTATGTGCTTAGCTCTACAGGAGTAAATGGATGTATATATATATTTGTAGATGCTGCAGATAGTGGAATATCGCCTTTGACAGTTTGATGAACAAGAGATCCCACTGAGAAGGTGGGACGTAGACATGCATCAAAGAATATTTTTCGGACTGTTCTCCATTATCTGACTCATTTCTGGTACTTCTATCTTTTGCTGATTATCAATATTACATTAGTTTTATTCAGTCTCTTTCGATTGATCATATCAGACTAAGAGTTATGTGTGTCTCACTTATACACGGAAAATCTATTTTAAAATGCACAGATTTTCATTTTAACATGTACTAAGATAAAGTCGAAGCATACATATTTGTCACTTGTATTCAACTTATTTTTCCCCATTAGGTATGATATCAAACATCGAAAAGAACTTACAAGATTGGACGAATTACAGAAGTGAGAAATGAGTGCATTTATTTATTTTTTGTTGTATTTTAAAAAACCGGTGAAAAAATGTGGTTGCTATGGTATACACAGAAGTATTTAACATTGTTTCTATTTATTTATTGTACAAAATATGGTGTTTTTCTACTAAAATAAAAGGGGAGATTCTTATTATTGGCATCATGTGCAATAATAGAGGTCGTTTTTAGTAGCTCTAGTTGGATAACCATTTACTTCTGCAAACTTGCATCGTCGTGTTACCTGGTGTTACCACTTCATACCGGCTTCGACTCATATATTCTACATTAAATTAACTTACCGATGCAGCAGATTCCTACAAACTGTTTATATTTCTGCACTACTTATTTGGATTGTGACCACGCTTTAGTGTATTCTACCTTTCGCCCTGGCAACCAGAAGAGCACACGAAACCTCTCTATTCCTCACTCACCATATTCTACCTTTACTCAGTGCCTTTGTACTCACCATAGTTGTCACAATATACATCTCAACTCTCAACGTTTTGACTGATACCGTTATGTACACATAATATCGTTGCGTTTGTTCATATTGAGCATACTTTTGATACGATTTACGGAGTTGCTCTTGGTCTATTAGCCAGGAGTGTTCCTTAAAGATTTCATCATTTTCCTATAAGTCGTCTACAACAACTTTCATCTAAGTTGGTGGTATAAAACAAGCTGTCATCATTATTCTCACGTTGCAGTGGGGTCGGTAGACATAGTCCTTTTGCGTTTGTCTTTTCAGCTGACAGCATTCCAGATGGGGCTCGTAAGGTCTACGTGATTGTTGTGAAGACAACATTGATTTACTTTGAGACAATGTATAGGTTATCTAACCAGTGCTTAAGCATTCGCCTGAGAATTTTTGGAAATATATAATATGGCTTGTCATGAATAAGCAAGCGAAGTTTCTGCAAATCATGATAGTTAGGCGTGGTATGGTAGAGCTATGAAAACTGAAATGAATGAAATCACAGATGAATAAGCTGATCTCGGCGATGATTAGTACCATTATCACATAAATCTTGAAATCAAAAAAGGTATTTTTAACAGTCAGTGGAGGATATCCTGACTACATAACAGCGGAACTTGGTATTGCTGATCTAAGGATGTTGGACGTTTCACATGCTACATCTTCAATATCTACATCGAATAACTTGCGTTCTCTGACAAAACACAAAAAAATTAATCAAGTTTCATGGTGAATATTTACGAAGAGTGGTGAATTCATATACTGACCTCAAGGGTTTGAAAGCATTCAACTAATTTCGACACAGATGCTAGAATACCTCGCATGGATTGATTGAAAGACGAAAAGTGGTGATAAATTAACAAACTGGAGTGATTTCGATGAGGTTCAGTTTCAACAGAACAACATTTATTAGGGCTTCAGTAATTTCTGACAGAAGTCAATTAGATGGTGAGACTAACTGACTGGCTACAGTGTTTTTCACAGACAATTCAGAAACGAAATTATTGTGTACTTGTTCTCGACGTACTTCTTCATACAGTTTTTACTATTTATTTATTTAGCACCTCCCTTCAAAATTTCGATAGTACAGCCTGTAGTTTTGAATTGTTTAATATCTTCTATTATGTATTAGTTAATTCTGTCGGGTTTAACAATGGCTTTATCAAAAGTTGTATGATTTTATTTCCTATTGTATGTAATTGATAAGATGAAACGACTTCAGATTCGTACTCTGTGTAACTTGATAATTTATTCATATACGCTTTAGAGGCTGAGGGAGTTGAAGTTCCCGGATAGTAAGATGTGTACTAAATCAAGATCTGATACCCACAACTTCTATAGTATTCATTTTGCGCAGACCAAAGACAAAGCAAAACACCAAACTGATCGTCTGAATTACAAAGTATATTTCGGGACAGGTTGACTGCTTAACTAGCTAGGCATCGTGAACAAACAGCCGAACGTAACACGATGGCGTGTCAAATGACGTGGATACTTGACTGTGAGATTTCAGCTAAACATGTCGACTCAAACAATGGGGGTCAGAATCCAGTCTTGAGTGATGAATGCTGTGGCTAATAATTCTGAGGAATTATCTACTGCTACAACGCTATTATCCTCACACAACATCTTTATATTGCTTTAATTTTCGAATGAAAATAGTAGGAGAAAAGAAGTTTGTATTATCACTCCACATGCTAGTAACTTTATGCGACGATGTATTTTTGTAAACTTGTAGGATTAAAGAATTCTACTGATGCGGCAAAAGAAAGACTATTGGCAGCTGAATGTAAGTAGTTATTGGGAAAAAAGTGTAACGTGTATCGAATTCATTCAAGAGTACATATTAATTTTCCTTCTGAGTATATATATCACGTTAATGTTACTAAAATATTTCAAACCAGAGTCAAAAACACTGAAATTAAACAACTCTTCAATGCATTTGATTATGACTGTAGTTGAATCATTCATCACTTATGGTACTCACCTTATTAAGAATGCTTTAGAATGGCCTTTTATTTCAAAATAAATTAGCCCATATTAAATGCTTAAATAATTGAAAAAAAAAAAACACTTTCAAAGCATTATCCGAAATCTCTTTAATTTAATTTAATATTTCATGTTGATTGTTTGTAATGGACAGAAATGTTTAGTCTCTATTGACATGTCGGCTCTTAGTACGGAGTCTTCAACACTGTCTAAGGATTAACATGATGTCATTTGGTGGATGGTGATTTTATCGGAATTCCGGATGCATGTGTCATCCTATTTGGCATATTGGATTCAAATTTCAAGAAATTACAGGAAACTGTAAGTGTCACGAGGTGACGAGCCCTAAATAGGACGAAATGCGCATCTTGGATTCCACCGCTAGTCATCATCCACCGAATTAGGTCTGATATCGTTGTATGTGTCTCCATTACGTTTGTGAAGTACAAATTAGTTTGAAGCAAGAGAGATAAAAGGAATGTAATCTCAAAATAACTAAAAATGCAGATTCAGAATAGACTGAAGGATAACGTAACATTTCTACTAAGTAGTTAAGAAGTCAGTCCATGCTTAGTATACTAGAAAGGTTTAGTGGAGTAAATAGTTTCACAAGTGATTGAATAGCTAACGTAACGTGTTGAAAATATAACCATATTTATGTGTTGTTGGTTATTGTGGCATGAGAAATCAGATAGCCAGTAGAATGATTATAACCGTTTGTATTCAGTTGATTATTTTCGAATGATAATCAATTTTCCTTTTGACTGTCTTCATTATTGCACTGTACACGTTTGAAGATTATTTTCAAACAGGAAATAATGAACTTTGATTTGAATTTTTATTTCTGGAAACACGTAAACTCCATGCCTCTATTTTTAGTGGAATGAAATGATCTACCTATACTGACATTAGGGTTCCATAGAAAGGAAGGTCTGAAAAAATGATTTTGTTTGCTTGATTGTAGTTAAATTTCAAATATATATATATTAGTTTCTACATGTTACTAGATAGAAGCGTCCTTAACTTGTCGCCTTATTATGAGACGCATGTTGAATTATGTGTGTTGATAGTGTTATTTTATGTTCCGAAGTTCGGTTGTAGAACATTTCTATCTCATGCTTGAAATATGGGACACTGCTGTTTAGTGTCACATAAACCCACCCACAATAATCAGCATATTTCATGGTCTAGGCCATTTGTTACAGAACAGTCATATTCTTTAATCTTGCATAGTTTATTAGTCTATTTTACACACTGTTCAGTGTAAAAACTATTGGTGGTAGAGTTGAATAGTTTTAACAATACCTAGTCATGATATTAGATGGTTGGAGGCAATCGGCAGGAAGCCTTGAACCTAGGTTTCGTGCTAGTTGGCACTCACCAGCCAGCAAGGCGTATCTGAAAACTTGAAGGAACTCATGTCCCTTCTGAGATTCTAACCCGCGTCACCCAATACAGCATTCACGGACATTACCACTGAGCTATTCGAGTTCGCCACTGACCTCCTGTAAGACTGTATCGGATACTTTGATTCGACACTAGTGACTATTGTGATACGCCTTGCTGACAGGTGAGTGCTAACTAGGACGAAACTTAGTTCGAAGTCTTCCTGTGGCCGATTGCCTCCAACCATCTGATATCATCAAATTAATGTTCACCGTGATGGTGAGCTACCTAGAATGGTGTCCACATTGCAACACTGACTGATAGAATTTAGTCTGCACCAGACTAAGGACTAGACATTGATATAAGAATAAAACTTGGGTACTGTGGTAGAGTGTAATTCCATTAATTGGTAAATTTTATTTTGATAGAGTCTCACACTGTTAAACAGTAATATTTACTGATGACATTTTGAGCACAATTTATTGCTCAAAATAATATCAAGGTAATCACACAACTTCCTAAATTCATTTATATAATTCTAAGAGATATTTAGATTTTAATTCATCTCATCCTTTAACTGTTAAGGCAGGCTTAGTTTAGTGTTTAACAAACCGAGCAATGGCACTAAGTAGTACAAAAAAAGACCTAAATTATGAAATAAAACAGAGAGAAGAGGCGTTGGTTTTAAATAACAATCCTCTAAAGTTCATTAGGAAGATTGAAAAACGCCAATAGAAAAATAAAAAGAATTGTGAAACTAGTAATAATAAAATAAATAAGAGAGAATATAAGTCATCAACAGTTATACCGTATAAAGAGGGGACATCTGATACCCTACGTAGGATTCTAAATAAAGTACGAATTAGGGTGCCATTCAAACCTACAAACTCACTGAGGTAGGATAAGCTCTGTAGGTTGACCCAATTAGAGTAAGTAATATAATTTCCAAAGTACCTTGTAATGACTGTGAGGTCAGCTACATATGTCAGACTAGTAGGTCGGGAGTAGTCAGATTGTCAGAACATAAGAATTTAGCTAAGGTAAGAATGGTTGACCCAGAGAAGATAAGTAATTTAGAAAAAAGCTCGGCAATTGCAATGCATGCATTAACACACAACCACACAATAGGGTGGGAGAGGGTTAAAATTCTAAAAAGTAATCTAGGTAGGTGGAGAGAGAGGTTGATTACTGAATCCTTGTTCATCGAATCTACACCCAACACATGCAATAGGAATGAATCATCACTCATACCCGAAATATGGAAAATAATACTACCAATCAAATTAAGTGAAAAACAACGGAATTATATAAATGAATTTAGGAAGTCGTGTGATAACCTTGATATGATTTTGAGCAATAAATTGTGCTCGAAACGTCATCAGTAAATATTACTGTATAACACTGTGAGACTCTATCAAAATAAAATTTACCCATAAGGACTAGACACATCACACTAGTTACTAGTGTCCAATCAAAATATCTAGTCATGCTAGACGTTAAGGTTAGTCATGCAAAGTATTCATTTAATCAATAGTAAGTGGTACACTTGGATCGACACTTTCATAATTTTTCTCCTTTATGTGTGTATGATAATAGTTCTTAGAAGATCCAGTGTGTATTGACTATGATTATATTGAAACAATGTACACTTTGCCATCATCCAATTTTTTTTTAACTTTAATTTAGCTGTGATGTTGGAGAAGGCGAAAGCTGTAACCGACTTGGAGGAAAAGTTCGATCCGGGTAAATAGTGAGATAATATTTTTTCCAAAATATCGAAAGCACTCCTTTATTCTTTCTGTGAATTTAAATAAACGGGACAGATAATAGATTTATGTGTAATCACTAAAATTCAAGTATTTTGATCTGAACGCAAAAAACGAATAAGCTGGATAGTGTATTAAGTGTGTCTATCAGTTCAGCTGTAACTGAGGTGACAGTCGTGTTGAGCGTACTACTAGACACCTTTTTCAACGTGTCACTACTGAACATTTTCTGTCGTGACTTGGCAAAGGATAAACAAAAACATTCTGTAGCTCCATTTTGTCACATTTAGTTGATAGTGGTCATATATTGCAGGAAACGAAAGCATTCAAGGTAATTCACGTATCCCACAGAATCTTTCCAATAGACTTCGTGTTGGTCTACTGCACATAGCTGAGGTGATAGTCATTCAAACTATTAAGCCTAAACTATGCATTCGTACAGCCATTATCCCTCCATTAGCCTATTCAGACCTAATCAGCTGATGACTTCCTCACAACACCTTACTTATATTTTCAACCGCTCTCTTATCATCCCTTAGTCTTACGACATCTTTATTTAAATGTATTTCGTTTAATAGTACTGTTTCTCAATATTCTTGTTATCAAAGATCGCTTCACTTTTCCATCTTTTTTAGTGATAGAACCATTATTATTATCAATAATTGCCCAGTCTTATCATCCTGCTAACAAAACACCATGATTAGTTTATATTTTAATATTTATTTGCAAAGTTATGTATATTAGAGTTACTTCTGATGAGATCTAATTGAAAGCACTATTGTTCGCTTAAATGCGTTGTTCTTAATTTTACCATGGGAATATTTAATATTTCAAAATGTTAGGATGACGATATAAAGTTAAAGCAAAATGGGTAGTAATTACAAAATTAATTAAAATATTTAAATAAGTATCAGTATTGTAAATCGACCATTCTGCTACAATATAGATCTTACTATTTTATTGAAGAATTAATTCTACCTTCTTATATTCAAATCAAATAGAATTACTTTATTCAAATCGTACGAAAGTCATGATATTGCATAAGTCTTTACTGGTCAAAGTGCAGTACCGTAAAGGTGAGTCTTTGATGTAACAATCCTATTGTTAAGGCATTCAGATATATGCTTAGTTTGTTTCTGATGGGAACGTAATTTTGATATTGATCTCTTATAGGAATGAGGACGTATATTAGGAAACTAAAATAATTACAAAGTGATTGTTCGGTGTGAATTAGTAGTTGAATTAGTAGTGCCGTTAAAATACAAATCATTGTCATATGAGCATGGTACTCAAATGAAGTTTTATGGAGTTTATTGTTGTTAGCCATCTTTGAAAATACTGTGAAGGCTATTCCTATGTTTAATCCTTTAGTTACCACGTGGCAACTGTTCATAAAGTTGTTCATTATTCTTAAAAATACTCCTGTCCATCTAAATTTAAGATAAATCTGCTATTGCAATCAAGTAACAGTGAATGAATAACGTGGTTATTACTCAACATAAATTAAAGTGTACATATACAGATAAATTTAATTGGTGGATGGTGACTAGCAGTGGAGTCCAGGATGCGCAATTCATCATATTTGGGACTCGTCACCTGGATGTACCTGCATTCCCCAGTGAGTGATAATATTCCCACCGAGACTGGAACCTAGTGCCTATAGTTTCAAACGCCAAATCGTTATCCACTAGACCACTTGGGCCACGAGTGCCACCTCTAGTGCTCAGACATCGTCGAAGCATCTGCACAAGAAGCCAACATGTCAACCTAAGACCAAGCACTTCAGTTCATTCAATCGATGGGAAAATATAAAATTCAATTAAATATACAGATAAAGCTTTTAGTAACACATTTCCAGTTCTCCAAATCTATATTAGAGAACACAATTTTTCGCAGATATGTATTTTTATTAATTTACCAACAGACTTTACAATTATATAATAAAATTACTCAGCACGGATATTCAATACCAAGGTGGTTAAAAAAATTAAATTTCAGGCACATAAATTAGCGGATAATAATCAAGGTGATCATAATTATCAGTTGTTGATTTGGAAGAAACTGACTCGTTACAGGTGCCATCACATCAGTTAGGAAACCATTAGAAAACTCGAGAATACTGGATAGCCGTTTCATCCTAATTTGAGACTCTTGCTTATTAATCTGAAGCTCACTGGAGACTGGCTGCACAGAAGAAGAAGCCTGAAGTGCTAGTCTAACAAGTCGCGCAAGAGGACAGTTACTAGCTCATAACACTTGCTGGCGACTGCGAATTGGCAGAGGTTGGTATTCATAGGCCATAAGAAAGGGTCTCGGTGGCTGAATGGTCTACGGGATTGTCTTGTAACTGGAACCTTTGGGGTTCGAACCCTGGTAGGTGCGTACTGTTTGGGAGTCCTAAAATAAGACGGGATAGCTTTCTAGTACTCGCTGTTGGTGTCAGCGCAGGATCGTAAAAATAACTACAAAGACAAATTCATGCATGTGCTTGTATAATTTATATAGTCACTTATTGTAAATGTGTAAGCACAGTATGGTTATTTGTGGGGATATATGAGGAAAATAACTATTATACCATCAAGGTTAGACAAATAGTTTTCAGTTTTATGATTTCTCGTAAAACTAAGATTGATGTATGCAACTGTCACAAAGTTTGATAATAAATTTAATGACAGTAAATTTAACAGTACAATTGAAGATAATATGTACAGTTGTCCGGTGTCAGTGGGAAAGAAAATCATTGTAGGTTGAAGGTAATGGCCATGGGAAGGAAAGTGACTAGAACCATGTTTTCGAAACACATCGACTGAGTTGATAAACGATGATGGTAACCGTTTCAGTTATTACTCAGAAATCTAAAACGTACTTGAATTTTAATTCTATTGATCACTATGGTATCAAATAATTTATTATGTAATCGGGTGGGCTGACAAGAGATTACTGAAAATACCTTTTCTCCTAAATTGTGTTTTATAGTTATTATAATGGGAATATTTAGATGCATATTAATACAATTTACGATGGAGTTGAGCACTACTCAATTCAATCTAAAACCAACCAAGACAAAAGACTTTATTGTTTCGTCAATACAATTTTTCAGCCAAGTGCAGTGAAGGGATCAGATACTCACTAATTGCACTTAATTCTAAGTGAAACCATTTTGCGTGTGTAAAATTAGAAAACATCATTGTGAAATTTTACACATTTTTTCAAATCAAACACTATATTTATCATTTATGATTTCTGAGGAATTCAAATTAATAGTCATTTATGTACATTTACATTAGTGGAACGGAAGATAACGCGTCGAAAATAAGTAAATTTTAATAATACTCATGAAGTGACACAGGTGAAAGATCACTCAGAGCCACCTTTCGAATCGCACTTTTGGGACTGATAGTCGTTTTTTTTAAGAATTGAACTTAGGTGGCCATATATTCCTAACACAAAAATAAAATCCGACTACTAGTCAACACCCATTTCGAACCACATAAATGGATAATGATCATGCATCTTTCCGTTGAGTGTTTGGCTGCGTCTTTTATAAATGTCACGTGTGAGGATGGATGTCCCACCAACGACGTTGGTTGGGGTCGCGCTAAATCACGAATTGGTAGAAGTTAGAATTCGTGAGCCATTGAATCGGGTCCCAGTGGCTGAATGGTATACGAGCCAGCTTGCCTTGTACTCGGAAGGTCCTGGGTTCGAATCCCAGTGGGTTCGTACTGCCAATGATTCCCAAAGTAGGATGAAACAGCAGCTGCCAGTCTCCCTGGTTTTCAATGGTTCTCTAACTGATATCAATCCGTGATCAACTCGTAAAAAAAGAAAGACACTAGAATTGAAAATATATGTGTATAGTGGTTTATACTTCGATACTGCTATTTTAAATTTCCATCATAATACTTAACGGTAAATTCCCCAGCGTCTTATTTACACTAGGTGGTATCAAACTCAATATAACACGATAGCTTATCACTTATCAAAATGGTTATGCTTTTAACGTTCATGGGGAAACTTCTATCTTAGTTTCACTTGTTATTTAATAAATGACAGGATTATGTTTCCACATTCATCATCAGTAAGAAGAGTATTGTCTAAATCAATTTTGTTAATCACTTCACCTTTTAAACATTTTGCAGATGAAATTGAATTCTTGCAAGAACGATATGCCCTCATAAAAAATCAAGAACAGATTGAATTACGTTAGTTAAATAAATTGTAGACTTTTAACCTAAACAATAGTTTAATGTTAACTAAGCTTAGAATAGTCTGTGTAGTGAAGTGGGCATTGATGAAGTCACCTAGCTAGTGAGAAAAGATTTACAAAGGAAGGCAAACAGCTCTGAAAACACGTGAATATTTAAATGCCCAATTTTATAACCAGTTTCCTTTTTTATTTTGAAACGTTTACATTAACTTGTTAGGTTATAAGGCCGATGTCTAATTTCTTTGCTATAAGCTGGAATCATCCTATAAAGCATGGGAAACCAAATTTTACCAGATTACACGAACACAAGCCTATGGGGTCCTCAGCCGAGAGCAGAAAACATCTCGTGTCTTTATACTGACTATATCAATGATGTTACGTGACATTTGCTGAAAGTTATTAGTCGGAAGGAGTGACTGAACATTGGCCACTGAGGTTATTTACAACATTGTATTTGCCAAAACGTATAAAAAACAACAAGAGTTTATTCACTCAAATAACTGTGTGTGCATGATTCAAATGGTTCTCTAATTCACGTTGTCCTTTGTGTTGGTGGCACAGCGGTTAGGACGCTCGTCGACCATGCATACGGTCCGGGATTCGATTCCCGGTCGACGCACTCGCTTACCTCGCTAAACCAGTAATAAGACTAATAAAGAGGGAAGGTTGGGCATGAGGCTAGCAACCCCATCATGTTAAAGTAAAGACCACTGCTACAGAAACTTCAAGCCTCTAGCTTGAAGCTCCATGTTCCACTGGGAATAAATAAATAAATAAATAAAACATGACCTGTTTCATGATATATATTAGAATTAATTAATTTTCAGTACTAAAAGTTGCAATTGGGCATGAAATTTTCTTCTCATAATTTATTTTGTAGAAGCTATTGAAACAGAATTAGAGACATTGAAACTGGATTTCATAGAATCCCATATAGAAGAAGAGAAATTGAAAGGTTGTCTATTGACTTCTTCAGTAGTTTTTAAAGTATTATTCACACGTTGAATGTACAATTATAGGAATGGTTATTGGTGATTTTTATGTGTTATGAAAACATTCTAGTGTAGTGTATTACAACGTTGATATAGTTACATCAAATCATTTCTCAGGTTATCCTAATTAGCAAAAGTATTAAAGACTTTAAAGTGTTAAAGTGATTTTGATCAGTGGAAATGTATTCATTAGTTCAGAGGATAGAATATGCGTCGGTGGCATAGCGATTAGGACGCTCGCCGACCATGCACATGGTCCGGGGTTCGATTACCAGCCGACTCACTCCTGTACCTCGCTGAGCCAGAACTAAAAGCTGGTGAAGAGGAAAGGTTGGGCATGAGGCTAGCAACCCCATCCTGTAAAAATAAACACTGCTACAGAAACTTCAAGCCTCTAGCTTGAAGCCCTATGTTCCACTGGGAACATGAAGGAATAAAAAAAGAGGATAGAATAGCACTCCCCTTACTAATAATAATGGCGTCTCATCCTAACGTAAGCGCACAAATATGGAGACCAACTACTTCATTTTAGTAAAATAAATAGTGATAAGTGAAGAACAGAAAGCACCTAATGCTTTTCAAATGATACTTAATGATTTCATGGATAAAAATACAGAATTTAAAGTAGTCAATAGAGAGCATCGGGTTTGACATTATGTGATTTGTTTGACAGTGGGCAAGTATCGGACACGAATATCATCAATATGAGTCAGGCTATTCGTTTACTGATGTCTCATATACCATATAGATGTGATGAGTTAAAGCCACATCATGTAAAATACCAACGTTAGCACTACACACTGACATCTGAAGGATTAACTACAAAAGAATATCCGGATCATTTTGTATTAAAGTATACTGTGAAGTGTCACTATCAGCCAGTGAATTGCTGCATAATTCATTGCTTAGAAAGAAAAATTTAATAGTTGTCCCTAAACACTCAATTTTTTGATGTGTAGATGAATGCTAAAAATTCCATTTGGATAATAAATAAAGCTTTCATTTTACTTCTTTTTGTAGCTGAAATGGATGAGAAATACCACTTAATGCAGGAAGCAGAAAAGTACATACATCCAAGTGAAGGTAAGTGATAATATAGAATTCATTCATATTGAATTAATGAGACAGTTCACTACATATGAAGTGTTTAAAACTCATTGATAACTGTTTACATGTAAATTTGTCTCATTTGAATTTATTTTGTACCAGATTATTGTATGATGATCTCACTGATCTCTAACGGAATCTAAGAGTTAATAAGATCTAATGGGAGGAACCAAAAACTCTGAGGATGAAACAATCATGAGCCTATTGACTAAAAACATATGCTGAAGACAAAAGAGTTGAATCGAAAACATGGTGAGAAGGTCATTGGGTGACGTCACACACCACTCCATCGCTGGAGTGGAACTTATGCGTGCAACTGGCGAGTTGTACGTCCAAGGTTGACATGAAGGAGGTCGTGTGAGATGAGAGCTTGTGGGTAATCGTAGAGCCAGTTGAAGAGGACTGTAGGAGACAGGATGAAATGGAGATGTGCTTCTGAAGTCCTGTGTTTCACTCGGAACCCAAAGGAATATAATAATAGTGAAGGGATATACGCACAGTTTGTCAATAACCTGAGCAGTATTGTGTTCATCACAATCTACATGTGTTCATAATATGGCAACTGTGCATTATTGAGTTGTGGCATTAAATAAAATCCACTATCACTAGCACTGTTAAATATTCTTCGGATTATCTTTATATTATCGTCAGATATCACACACGATTAAGTGAGGAGAACTACGATATATCAGACATTTACATTTATATATGCTAAAACGCTAAGATATATATATTTATATATTTCCTATGGCTTGTGTGGATACAATGGGACAGATAATATTAGGTGTGTCACTTTTTATAGTTGGAGGAGAGAAATTATTATTATTTATAATTGTTTCCTTTAATTCCTAGAGGAACATAGGGCTCCAGCCGTGCGTCTCCATTGCGTTCTGTTCTCTGCTAGAGTCTTCACCTGGCTCCAAGTCTGCCCACACGTTTTCATCTCCTCTTCACGTGACCTCCTCCAAGTCACCCACCCTCTCACTGACGACCAACTCGCCGCTTCCCTTTCGGGTTCCACTCGAGCAATGGCTTGTCTAGTGATGTCACTTAATGGTTTCCTCAGAGTACGGCCAGCCAATCCATCTCCATTTCCTTCTGCCTATTTGTTTCACAATCGGTTCCTGGTTGGTTCGCTCCCAGAGATCCCAACCTGTTTCTGATCTTTTCTGGCTGGCCATCTGATCTTGAGTATTGAGCGAAGACAACTGTTAATGAAGGTCCGTAGTTTGTTAGAGATGCTCTTCATGATGCGTCAAGTCTCTGATCGGTATAGTAGCACTGACTTCACGTTGGAGTTGAAAATCCGAAAAAGATTACTACAATTCAGAAATAACTTTTAAATGGATCTGAAGATAGGCAGGTTAAATTTGATCTTAGTTGCATAATTAATTCAGATAGCAAAAGAATTGAATGTGAACGATGAATAGGAGAAATCACTCGCTTTTCCATTGCTGATCAAGTAATCATAACCGGTATTAAATGTTAACGCAATCAGCTGACAGAAAGCTAAAGTTTCTCACTTATTTGCAAACATCATTGAGGTGTTTCTATGTCCTTGAAGTTAATCACATTCCTTCTAAATCGGCAACTTGAATCACTCATTGTCAAAATCTGAGATTTCGATGACCAACTCATATCTAATATGGATACAAATAAAAGGGAATACAGCATACTAAAGTGCCGTGTCAGTTAGATTAGTAATTAACCCACATCATACAGATTATAGTGGAAGATTTAAAACAGCTTATCCTAAGGACATCATACCTACACTGTTTGCTGTAGTCTACTTATGTATAATTAAGATTTTCAGATATATTGTTGCTCTAAATAAATCTCGTAATTTTCCTTTCAGAAGGAATAATACTTTCGAATTAAATTGAATAAACCTTTAAATGTCCACCCGGTTTTTGTTATACTTCATCTTTATTCTTCTAGTGGATGAAAAGACCGAAAGCTTAAGGAATACTTCGAAAATACTACTACTGGAATTTACAAAAGCGAAACGTGTGTTGCTTCTTATTGTTTCATGCAGGATGAAATTACGTTTTACTCTTTCTGTATTTAATCTAGTAACATGATCATTCTCAACAAATACGTTAGGGACAAAAATTTCTGAAATATTTTAATGAAGTTAGACTGTAGAACTTTCTTCTCTTTTTTATTGATGTAAGTGTCTGTCGAAGAGAAATGAGTTGTAATTCCAGTGTAAGGTAAATGGATTTGATAAAAGCGCAGTGATACACTGTCATCCACAGTGAATAACAGCGTGTAACTATGTGCTTTGAACAAATACATTCCTTTTATGATGGAATTATACTATAACACAGTGCCATAGCTCTATTATTATTATAATTATTATTTTAATGAGACACGAGTTGCTTTATATTATTATGTCACCGAGAAATGAATAATCCATTCAAAGTTATATTAATTTGAATCACAATCATGCAAAACATGGATAAAACTGACTTTTTGGCTATTTTTAGCCATCCAGTAAAATAGACTGAGTAACTGTCAAATTAACAAAGATATCAGAGTTGGCACTGTCTTGAGACAAAACAGAGAATAACCAACAATGAGCACTATGTATAAGTAGCTGTCACTGTGATTGTCTATTTTTCAATCACAAAAATGAGAAAGGTAAATAATTCTATGCTTAGCAGAAACAATGTGTTTTCTGAGACTGCTGATTTAAATTCAGTGTGATACAATTATTACATTTTGTCTCATTGAAGTAATACAGAAATTTGAAACATACATTCAATTTAATTGTTGTGTGGTGACTAGCAGTGGAATCCAGGATGCACATTCCCTTCTATTTGGGACTCGTCAACTGGATGTACCTGCATTCCCCAGTGAGTGATGATGTTCCCACCGAGGCTCGAACTCACTGCCCATAGTTCCAAACGCCAAATCGTTATCCACTAGACCACTTGGGCCACGATAGCCACCTCTTGTGAAACGAGTCATATTAATCATTTAATTGAATTTTTTAGATTTTCCCGTCAATTGATTGACGTTTGAAACTATGGGCACTGGGTTCGGGTCTCCGTGACAACATCATCACTCACTGGGGAACGAGGATACACACAAATGACGAGTCGTAGGTAGGACGAAATGCGCACCCTGAATTGCAGTGCTAGTCACCACCCACTGATTAAATTCTAATTACATGGCCAGACTTCGTCGAAGCATCTGTACAAGAAGCCGATATGTCAACTTGAGACCAAGCACTTCGGTATAATCAATCGACGGGAAAATCTAAAATTCAATTAAATACATTCAATTAATGTAGTAAAATTATTAGGAATGACGGGTTGGTCTCGATCTAAATTCTAGTAGAAAATATAATTCAGCCTTCAAAGTTAGTTTTTATACTAACTGACATCAGTCAATCTAACAGTTACACTGAGATCTAGGTAACTCTACGGTCTTAGTCTTGCGTACAATTTTCATAAATTTCACGTCTGATTACCCCTTGAATGTCCACTGGTGACTAAATAACTCTAACTGAACATATTTATGACATTGGAGGTCAACTGAACTATTTTGGAAATAAGCATAAACTGAAAGTCATTTACTACTCAGGTTATATCCAATATCTGATTAGTAGTGTGTCAGTCATGTAACCTGAAGATTTTGACCTTAAGCATTTACGAGCTTCTGAATGCCCATTACTGATGGATGTAAGGTGTAGAAAAAGCCTCCGGTTTTTGGCTTCATGTTTTTTATTATCCTGAAATGATACTAGAAACCATGGATGCCGTCTAATTCCCCTCTTTTTTTCAAATAACAAAAATGTTATTTCCTCCAGATGTTTGAAGCGGATTTTATTTATTTATTTTTTGTTGATAAATCACTAAGAATACTTCATTGAATATGTTCTAGTCCTTTTCGATCTTACTAGCACAATTTCTCTGATCTACTTTATCTTCATAGAAAAATTTCTCTCTGTCACAGATAAACTGAGAAAAAAGAGACTTATGTCTCTAATACATAGGACTAATATAAGAAATGTTTTGCGTAAGTTCATTGTACCTTCATTAAAACATTCTGTGTTAACGTCATTTTGATTGCAATCTATATTTATGAGGCATAATTTATTTGAAGTGAATTTTTAAACAAATGAAATGGTTACAATTAGATCCAACTGTGTAGTGAAAAGTGAGATCAGGGTAAGCGTGAACCAGCACTGATCATTGTGAATCATGTTCAGTGTAGGCCAAAAAGAAGGCCAATTAAACAAAATCCCTACCAAACCAATACTTGAAAATTAATCTGATGCTCACTAATGACTGGCCCTATTCAGGCAGTTAGCCTGGGGTTCTAGTGGGAAGCCGTGACCAGTAGGGTACAGCAGGTCAAAGATGAGGCAGTAACTCATCGAAGAAGACATTGCGAAATGGTCGCGCTATGTCGTGAATTGGCAGAAGTTAGAATTCATGGGCCATTGGATCGGGTCCCATTGGCTCAATGGTCTACGAGCTCGCCTTGTAACCAGAAGGTCCTGGGTTCAAATCCCGGTGGGTGCGTACTGATGAAGAGTCCCAAACTAGGACGAAACAGCTGTCCAGTACTCCCAGCTGGTTTTCCAGTGGTTCTCTAACTGATGTCAGCTCATGATGAAATCCTCCATGCAATCAAAAGGAAATCGTGAAGGCAATGACAACAGATAGTAACAACCAACAACATTTTTTTAAAGCTTAATCAAAGACACCTGAATTAGCGAACTGGAAATGAGTCTCATTTTGACGACTTATGATTTGCTTTACTGGGCTTAATTAGTAAAAATCCATTAGCTTGTTTGTATATGCCTAACAAGAAATTACAGTGGAATACTGTATCCCGTAAGAACTTATTTAATATAGGTATTTGTATTGAAGTAGGCTTTGTTATTTTATTTGTATAATTTTTGATATTTTACTTTCCTTATTTTTATAAAACTGATATGGTAAAATTGTAGTATAACATACTAGTTGACTGTTGATGCATTTACAAAAATTTAATTTCAGCATATCTTCGAGGCGCTAACAATACAATTTACGAATTACGAGAAGAATTGAAAATACTACAGGAAAGATGTATGTCAAAACAGATGTTTTTGAGAATAGGGTTTATATTTTCACTTCTTAGGAAGAAATCACATAACAATGTGGAAAATAAAAAAAAATGAATTAATTCAGCAGATACTTATATATATATTTTAAATGTAATCATACTATACTCTGAAGCAATACACTACGTTACATGCATGAAGAGTTCATGGGCAGTTAATGGATATATATTTATATGTGTATGGGTGTATTTAACATTATATAATAAGGCTTTTAAGTCCAATACACAGTAATATCAGCCATGAGGAGTAGGCGGTTTGCTATGTATTGCAAACCAAAAACTAAGAAACAGTGTGGACTCAAAAATCTGATGCTGTGTGAAAATTGCTTAGGAAAGCAAATATTAAAAATCATCGCAGATTCAGTGATGAAGTCGACATAACAGCGTTGGCAAAAAAAGAATGCTCTGGTTGTTCTTCTGAGTTCAGAAATCAACATCGATTTTCCGACAGGTGAGCGTCAAGTACCACTGTGTTCATTGAGTGAACGATTGATATCCAGTGTTTACTTTGTTGTTGCATGACTAATGTAATGAGAGAAACCTAGCTATTACTGAAGAGTTATGCGCATTGAGCAGGAGTTCGCGTAAAAACTAAAGATATGTGTCAATTCACGCCATTAAGGACAGGCATAAAAATGATGGCATGTAGACAGATAGAAAAAAAGAGAAAACCAGAGTAGGAAGAGTACCACAAATATTGCGCTGGGATTCGTAAAAATTAAAATTAAATAATTGGATGAAACAAGGAAAGAACGCGGCTTGATTGAAACGCAAAGGGGTGAGAAAAAATGGACAAAGAAATCGAAAGAGAGGAAAAAAAAGGAAAAAAAGAGGATCTAAACATAGCAAAAATAATTCCAAAGCAAGAAAAAAATCGCGCAGAAACACATAAAGAGAATAAGCCCCAGGAGAGCAGCAAAACCAATTACATTCACAAATGCAAGCGAATTCGAATGATATAATATGTGAGCATGTGGTATATACCTGTGAGGAAATGTTCACGTCTTCTCCCTTCTTCGTTGTAGGTGTCGGAGAAGGTGGTGAGGGAGTGACAGAGGAGTCGGCTGGTCACGGTGAAGGCAAGGAAGAGACGTCAGGTGAGTGTCGGCTTCCATTCTGCTCGTCGAATGTTGCACTGTGTGAGTTGGTTTGTGCGCGTTCCAGTTAGTGTGCGAGAGTGTGTGCATTTGATGTTGATTTGGTCAGGGCGAGTGTTTGACTGAAACGTGGACGTGTCTGTCTGTGTGTGAATCTGTTTTTCTGTGTGTGTGTGTGTGTCTGTGTCTGTGTGTCTGTGTCTGTGTGATATGCGTGCATGTTCGAGTGAGATTGTTGAGTGGATGTGAGTGAATTGTGTCTGGTTTGAAGAGGTTCGATGAGATGTCGATGTGTATGTGTATGTGTATGTGAATGTGTTGGTGAATGTGTATGTGTATGTTGATGCGTGTGTGTATTTGTACTGGATGTGGATGTGGAGGGCGATACGGAGGTCTATTTTGATGTTGAAGGCGATGTGATTAATGTGAAGGACGGCGTGACCATCGTCTTCCTTCGTATTTGCAGGCGGCTTCGACTGATACTCTTTGTGAGCATGTGGTATATACCTGTGAGGAAATGTTCACGTCTTCTCCCTTCTTCGTTGTAGGTGTCGGAGAAGGTGGTGAGGGAGCGACAGAGGAGTCGGCTGGTCACGGTGAAGGCAAGGAAGAGACGTCAGGTGAGTGTCGGCTTCCATTCTGCTCGTCGAATGTTGCACTGTGTGAGTTGGTTTGTGCGCGTTCCAGTTAGTGTGCGAGAGTGTGTGCATTTGATGTTGATTTGGTCAGGGCGAGTGTTTGACTGAAACGTGGACGTGTCTGTCTGTGTGTGAATCTGTTTTTCTGTGTGTGTGTCTGTGTCTGTGTGATATGCGTGCATGTTCGAGTGAGATTGTTGAGTGGATGTGAGTGAATTGTGTCTGGTTTGAAGAGGTTCGATGAGATGTCGATGTGTATGTGTATGTGTATGTGAATGTGTTGGTGAATGTGTATGTGTATGTTGATGCGTGTGTGTATTTGTACTGGATGTGGATGTGGAGGGCGATACGGAGGTCTATTTTGATGTTGAAGGCGATGTGATTAATGTGAAGGACGGCGTGACCATCGTCTTCCTTCGTATTTGCAGGCGGCTTCGACTGATACTCTTTGTGAGCATGTGGTATATACCTGTGAGGAAATGTTCACGTCTTCTCCCTTCTTCGTTGTAGGTGTCGGAGAAGGTGGTGAGGGAGCGACAGAGGAGTCGGCTGGTCACGGTGAAGGCAAGGAAGAGACGTCAGGTGAGTGTCGGCTTCCATTCTGCTCGTCGAATGTTGCACTGTGTGAGTTGGTTTGTGCGCGTTCCAGTTAGTGTGCGAGAGTGTGTGCATTTGATGTTGATTTGGTCAGGGCGAGTGTTTGACTGAAACGTGGACGTGTCTGTCTGTGTGTGAATCTGTTTTTCTGTGTGTGTGTGTGTGTCTGTGTCTGTGTGTCTGTGTCTGTGTGATATGCGTGCATGTTCGAGTGAGATTGTTGAGTGGATGTGAGTGAATTGTGTCTGGTTTGAAGAGGTTCGATGAGATGTCGATGTGTATGTGTATGTGTATGTGAATGTGTTGGTGAATGTGTATGTGTATGTTGATGCGTGTGTGTATTTGTACTGGATGTGGATGTGGAGGGCGATACGGAGGTCTATTTTGATGTTGAAGGCGATGTGATTAATGTGAAGGACGGCGTGACCATCGTCTTCCTTCGTATTTGCAGGCGGCTTCGACTGATACTCTTTGTGAGCATGTGGTATATACCTGTGAGGAAATGTTCACGTCTTCTCCCTTCTTCGTTGTAGGTGTCGGAGAAGGTGGTGAGGGAGCGACAGAGGAGTCGGCTGGTCACGGTGAAGGCAAGGAAGAGACGTCAGGTGAGTGTCGGCTTCCATTCTGCTCGTCGAATGTTGCACTGTGTGAGTTGGTTTGTGCGCGTTCCAGTTAGTGTGCGAGAGTGTGTGCATTTGATGTTGATTTGGTCAGGGCGAGTGTTTGACTGAAACGTGGACGTGTCTGTCTGTGTGTGAATCTGTTTTTCTGTGTGTGTGTGTGTGTCTGTGTCTGTGTGTCTGTGTCTGTGTGATATGCGTGCATGTTCGAGTGAGATTGTTGAGTGGATGTGAGTGAATTGTGTCTGGTTTGAAGAGGTTCGATGAGATGTCGATGTGTATGTGTATGTGTATGTGAATGTGTTGGTGAATGTGTATGTGTATGTTGATGCGTGTGTGTATTTGTACTGGATGTGGATGTGGAGGGCGATACGGAGGTCTATTTTGATGTTGAAGGCGATGTGATTAATGTGAAGGACGGCGTGACCATCGTCTTCCTTCGTATTTGCAGGCGGCTTCGACTGATACTCTTTGTGAGCATGTGGTATATACCTGTGAGGAAATGTTCACGTCTTCTCCCTTCTTCGTTGTAGGTGTCGGAGAAGGTGGTGAGGGAGCGACAGAGGAGTCGGCTGGTCACGGTGAAGGCAAGGAAGAGACGTCAGGTGAGTGTCGGCTTCCATTCTGCTCGTCGAATGTTGCACTGTGTGAGTTGGTTTGTGCGCGTTCCAGTTAGTGTGCGAGAGTGTGTGCATTTGATGTTGATTTGGTCAGGGCGAGTGTTTGACTGAAACGTGGACGTGTCTGTCTGTGTGTGAATCTGTTTTTCTGTGTGTGTGTGTGTGTCTGTGTCTGTGTGTCTGTGTCTGTGTGATATGCGTGCATGTTCGAGTGAGATTGTTGAGTGGATGTGAGTGAATTGTGTCTGGTTTGAAGAGGTTCGATGAGATGTCGATGTGTATGTGTATGTGTATGTGAATGTGTTGGTGAATGTGTATGTGTATGTTGATGCGTGTGTGTATTTGTACTGGATGTGGATGTGGAGGGCGATACGGAGGTCTATTTTGATGTTGAAGGCGATGTGATTAATGTGAAGGACGGCGTGACCATCGTCTTCCTTCGTATTTGCAGGCGGCTTCGACTGATACTCTTTGTGAGCATGTGGTATATACCTGTGAGGAAATGTTCACGTCTTCTCCCTTCTTCGTTGTAGGTGTCGGAGAAGGTGGTGAGGGAGCGACAGAGGAGTCGGCTGGTCACGGTGAAGGCAAGGAAGAGACGTCAGGTGAGTGTCGGCTTCCATTCTGCTCGTCGAATGTTGCACTGTGTGAGTTGGTTTGTGCGCGTTCCAGTTAGTGTGCGAGAGTGTGTGCATTTGATGTTGATTTGGTCAGGGCGAGTGTTTGACTGAAACGTGGACGTGTCTGTCTGTGTGTGAATCTGTTTTTCTGTGTGTGTGTGTGTGTCTGTGTCTGTGTGTCTGTGTCTGTGTGATATGCGTGCATGTTCGAGTGAGATTGTTGAGTGGATGTGAGTGAATTGTGTCTGGTTTGAAGAGGTTCGATGAGATGTCGATGTGTATGTGTATGTGTATGTGAATGTGTTGGTGAATGTGTATGTGTATGTTGATGCGTGTGTGTATTTGTACTGGATGTGGATGTGGAGGGCGATACGGAGGTCTATTTTGATGTTGAAGGCGATGTGATTAATGTGAAGGACGGCGTGACCATCGTCTTCCTTCGTATTTGCAGGCGGCTTCGACTGATACTCTTTGTGAGCATGTGGTATATACCTGTGAGGAAATGTTCACGTCTTCTCCCTTCTTCGTTGTAGGTGTCGGAGAAGGTGGTGAGGGAGCGACAGAGGAGTCGGCTGGTCACGGTGAAGGCAAGGAAGAGACGTCAGGTGAGTGTCGGCTTCCATTCTGCTCGTCGAATGTTGCACTGTGTGAGTTGGTTTGTGCGCGTTCCAGTTAGTGTGCGAGAGTGTGTGCATTTGATGTTGATTTGGTCAGGGCGAGTGTTTGACTGAAACGTGGACGTGTCTGTCTGTGTGTGAATCTGTTTTTCTGTGTGTGTGTGTGTGTGTGTCTGTGTCTGTGTCTGTGTCTGTGTGATATGCGTGCATGTGCGAGTGAGATTGTTGAGTGGATGTGAGTGAATTGTGTCTGGTTTGAAGAGGTTCGATGAGATGTCGATGTGTATGTGTATGTGTATGTGAATGTGTTGGTGAATGTGTATGTGTATGTTGATGCGTGTGTGTATTTGTACTGGATGTGGATGTGGAGGGCGATACGGAGGTCTATTTTGATGTTGAAGGCGATGTGATTAATGTGAAGGACGGCGTGACCATCGTCTTCCTTCGTATTTGCAGGCGGCTTCGACTGATACTCTTTGTGAGCATGTGGTATATACCTGTGAGGAAATGTTCACGTCTTCTCCCTTCTTCGTTGTAGGTGTCGGAGAAGGTGGTGAGGGAGCGACAGAGGAGTCGGCTGGTCACGGTGAAGGCAAGGAAGAGACGTCAGGTGAGTGTCGGCTTCCATTCTGCTCGTCGAATGTTGCACTGTGTGAGTTGGTTTGTGCGCGTTCCAGTTAGTGTGCGAGAGTGTGTGCATTTGATGTTGATTTGGTCAGGGCGAGTGTTTGACTGAAACGTGGACGTGTCTGTCTGTGTGTGAATCTGTTTTTCTGTGTGTGTGTGTGTGTCTGTGTCTGTGTGTCTGTGTCTGTGTGATATGCGTGCATGTTCGAGTGAGATTGTTGAGTGGATGTGAGTGAATTGTGTCTGGTTTGAAGAGGTTCGATGAGATGTCGATGTGTATGTGTATGTGTATGTGAATGTGTTGGTGAATGTGTATGTGTATGTTGATGCGTGTGTGTATTTGTACTGGATGTGGATGTGGAGGGCGATACGGAGGTCTATTTTGATGTTGAAGGCGATGTGATTAATGTGAAGGACGGCGTGACCATCGTCTTCCTTCGTATTTGCAGGCGGCTTCGACTGATACTCTTTGTGAGCATGTGGTATATACCTGTGAGGAAATGTTCACGTCTTCTCCCTTCTTCGTTGTAGGTGTCGGAGAAGGTGGTGAGGGAGCGACAGAGGAGTCGGCTGGTCACGGTGAAGGCAAGGAAGAGACGTCAGGTGAGTGTCGGCTTCCATTCTGCTCGTCGAATGTTGCACTGTGTGAGTTGGTTTGTGC